AATATCCTGCGCCGTATCCCGATAACCCTTTAAAGGGCCTCAAAGTGATTCAGACACAGACTGAACAATTCCTTGAACTGTTTAGCCGGACTTTGACTTTTTTTACGCGTTAAAGATGTGAAAATATCATTGTATATTATTTTTTCGATCGTTTTTTTGAAGCGGTTGTCTTGATCGAACGCACAATGTCACCTGCAGGGTTTGAATAAATTATTTTTGCACTTAATGCGCGCGCTTTGCTTCTGCATAATTATGGTAAACTATCTCGTATTTTTTCATGTACATTATTAATACGTAATCGCATGTTTTTTCTCGTGCAATTTGGAATAAAATAAGCGCTTGCAAATTTTTTTCAAAGACCACAAATTGCACGAGCCCGTAGGTTTGTTAGTCTTTGAAAAAAATTTACTCGTGGTCATTTATTCCAAATTGCAATCGAAATCATGTGATTACCAACACTAATGAAAAATGGAAGGAAATAACAATTCTAGCGATAACTTTCTTCAGATTGCATTGAAATTCTGTTAGACTCGCTGAGTTATGAAGAAGACTTGGGAAGACTTTTCTAAATTAAAAACAATTTTCGTTTACTGCTTCCATATTTATTGCCATACTCCTTTTAGTATATTTACTCTCAGATAAATCTCAGAGGGAGGGGGGGCTATACTTTTCATAAAGAAGTTGGGACGGGCAGCAGTTTTAGGCACATTTAACAGCAGTTTTAACAGGTGGGTATTATGCAAAATAATCATCTTATGGTTGTATGTGACATGAATTTTAATAATTACTAAGCATTTAAGAGGAAATATGAGGAGATGGGGGGTCCTCATCTAAATATTTAATAAAGAAGGGGGGTCACTTGCTAATTACATAGCCCGGATTATGGGGGGGGGGCTAATATAGATTTTAATCCCTTCAACGTATTTTTCCCTTCCCCCTCTGTACATAAAAAATGACTGGTCCCCTAAATAGATGTGTGACGCTGATGTAACGTCTTGCAAAATCTATATTTAACAATCTATATGTTAGTTACAAACCATCTTATGAAATTCCACAGTATTGATGTTTTCAGCCTGCAATTGTTTAGAGTTAGATGTTTCAATTGTATCATCATGCTCTGAATTCAGTTGATGTCTTTTCGCTCAGTTTAGTGAATTATTGACCCTTCCCTTGGAGCATTTCAATCAAGCAGGCATGAGGATCACATCTTTGATAGCTATTCCTACTTTTTCCTATCAAGTTGACAGTTCAACAATGAACTCAATCTTGTTGTTCTTAAATCTTCAAAAACATATTCACAAGGCTTTGTTGTTTCTATCTATACGAGCGAACGTTTGTCCCAAAGGAGAAATCAATCTGCATATGATATCCATATACATCTAGTGACAGCAAGTTCCTTGTTAACATCACTACAAATTAATGATTATTCTAAATTACAGTAACTTCATGTTTCTCGTGAAAACCTATGATATCCAGCTAAACCACAATCATTCATTTAGTTGATCATTGTCGGGTTTTGTCTCCGAGTCGGAAGAATCACTTTTATAGTCTTTATTAAAATCGAAGTAAGGAGCGTCCCTCGTCATCATTTCTTCCATTCTTGTTAGCAGCTGTTCAAATGATGGTCTCTCCTCGGGGTCTGCCTTCCAACAGTCTAACATCAACTCGTATCTGTGGTTATATAATGTATTCGGATATAAACAGAGGAATTACAGCTATTAAGTGATAATTATCGAATTCAGTTACTGTTTTCCCAAACAATCCCGACTAAAGTACAAGTAGGAAGTCATGTGGGCTTTAAAACAATTTGCACAGTAAAAGCGTTTTAATAGTTGTACCAAACACTTGTCTCGACAAGACAAATCAGTTCACTGAGAAACGGTACGTGTGAACGACATACTCCTCTCAAGAAATGATAAATTCTCCCCTTAAGATTACTTTTACTCAGCGGCGCCGAGGTTCTGGGCACGTTATTATGGCCTTTTAATTCCTTCCCACAATTGTCTGTTTTCTTAGAAAAAAGCATAATGGCTGAGTTGCATTTTCTTGAACATTAAATTTATTAGTGCTGGACCGCAAGTTAAAACAAAACCTTACAGATGACTTCTAGAAGGATTAAGTCACGCAGTTGAGATAGGCGAACTTAACTAAGAGTTTCTTGGTGAGGGGGGAGTATCACACATCACATACGGGGACATATATGAAATAGGTGAAAAATATTGTTGAACGTACAGCTCATCAGAACATATCCCTGGTTTGTCCATTCGATATCCTGACTTAAGAAGGTTGTACAACTCTCTGTTGCGTATTCCAGGGTAGGGGATGCCACCTTGGATACAGATTCATTTTGAAGACGGCAAAAAATAGTCTTTAACTAAGATAATTTTCAAAAACTAAGCTAAAATAAGAACCCTTGAAACTAGAAGTATTGAGTTTCTGAGGGCTACAAAATAACAAGTAATTTGCACTTCAAAAATCAGTTGATCTAAAGTGTTCCTTCCTTTGAGCTCCCTTTTTCCTTCATTAAAAAAGCCTCGCAACTTCATGACCTTAAGTCTAACGTGTTAAGTCACTAGTGATTAAACCCCTAAAATCGCCCTGGCTTTTACGTAAGATACTCCACAGATGGAAAAAAGATGTTTGGCTGCTGAAACGAATTTATATACAAACGAAATACGAGCATTGTAGTTGAGGGCGTCTATCGGGGTCCGAGAGCATGTCCGATCAGTCCTCCGTCCCTGATTTGGTACAGTTAAAGGTATTCTTTGGAGATGAAATCTGGGAATAAATCAGGTGCCCTTTTTGGGACGGACTGGAACAAGGCTCTGAGCCAGTCAAGACAAGCATAATTCATTGGACAGATCTTGCCTTCAAATTCAGAATGCTTACTATAAAATGCCATTTCGAGAAGAAACGATCTATACTTCTGTAGTTATGAATCAGACGTTATTACTCACCCAATGTGCACAATTCCCAAATAAGTATACCGAAAGACCACCTACCGAAGGAAAGAAGACGAAAATGATTATTTGAAGTAATTTCGCAATAATGGTGCCTCGGAAATCAATTGAAAACAGCTACCATCAGACAATAGTTTAGTTTAATGAGAGAGGTAGTCTGGTCTTAAAGTACCGTGGTATCAAAGGGTGTCAGTTAATATTCTCGTTTCACTGACAAGCATTGAAAACATAATTGAGCGGAAAAAAAGATAATAAATTAAATCTTGTTTTGAGTAGTTTAAGAACGTTTAGTACTCACACGTCACTTTTGGAAGTAAATATGCCGTCGCCGAATGACTCAGGTGCCATCCATTTGATTGGCAGTTTCTTCGTGTTCTTTACTTCATATATGTCCCCGTATGTGTGACGCAACAGGCCAAAGTCAGCAATTTTCACAGCTCTGTCCTCACCAAGAAGGATGTTACGAGCGGCCAGATCACGATGAACAAATCCGTTGCTGGCCAAGTACTCCTGTTTATATAGAAACACAAAGCAATTCCAAATTATGCAAGGCCATTACTAAGCCTGCGCGTCCATTTCTTTCTTTCCTTGCTATTCGCTCGTTGGTGAAAAGGAGAGCACTAGTAAACCGATGGCAATTCATCTCTAGCTGTCAGATAACAGATCTATCAGTAAAGTAGATGATGATAAAAGTAGACTGTTGGCGTGTATCATTAATCATTTGACGCTTTTATGCAGCATGTAGTTAAAGATCTGTTTTAGCATTTTTCCAAGGTTTAAAATTTTATTGTCTATGTGTTACAAGCAGCACGTTTAACTGACTTTCTGTCCACCTTATTTTCATGGAATGACTTTTTTTGTTATTTTTTTTTCATGTAACATGAGCTCGGCGTTAGGATGTTAAGAAGAAAGTTTATTTCCTAGACTGGGGAAAATGTTTGCGTGTAATATTCAGTTCAATAATCACAGATATTTTTAAATTTAAGCACTTACCATTCCATTTGCTATCTGCCATGCAAAACAAAGTACATCTTTTACGGTGAAGTCAACTGCCTGCTCACCATCACCATTCGTTTCCTGTTGTTCCTCTGTGTTCTCTGGTGGCTGTGGCAGGGGGCGTGCACTTTTAAATGGAGTAGCGAGATTCCCTTCTTCGTGGCCAGATGGAAAATGAGCTTGGGAAATTTTCATTTGTATTGTTTCTGTGTCAGTACTTTCCTCTTCTGTGGGCGGTTGTTCTTTAATAATAACTGAAATGAAATCTGGGTTGCTGGTAGCTTCGGTAAATTCCGCCACACTCGTGAGTTCCGTTCCATTACTGACATCATCGTGAAAGTCTACGACGTCCTCTGACTGATCAGCTGAGACAGCTTCTTTTGAACTCTCACTGCTGTCTTTATAATCGTCCATGGATTCAAAAATAACACCATCGATGCCGTTTCTACATTTGCCCTAAAATTATTAGAATGTCTCATGTAAACAACTCCATGGATCTTTTAGTTTGAGAGCATATCTAGAAAAATAACCCAAACCTGAACGATTTATTTCTGACCGGCATCATCAGCGATTACGAGTGAGAAATTTCAATTTAGTATTTGCTAAAGCTTTTTCATGAGAGAAAAAAAAGAAATGTATTCTTTGAAATGGGTACCTCCTAAGGACTCCATGTTTATGGATCGCCATTTTTTGTCCCAAAGTTAAAAGACTTATGACTTTTGTTACCCACTCCAATTTGTTTGGTAGCTAATTAACCCTCCATTTGATCAATATTTTTTACCAAAGTTTTAAATCTGCAAAACAGTTTTACCTGCTGCCTTTTGTTTCTCAGCCACTGAAGAAGATCTCCATGTGGAACATATTCCATGATCAGCATTATGGGTTCTGACCTGTGCCAGTACCCAATCATGCTCACCAAATTCCTGTGACTTCCTATACGCTGCACAAACGAAATTTCTCTGAGAAACTGTTCTTTCTCATCTACATCACCTCTTTCTGAAAGGGAAGTGGTAAAACAGCAAGTAAAAAAAAAAGAGTTCGGCTCACTACATCTCTGCAGTTTATCGTTACCTAATTATCGTTAAGTATCTAACACAGATAAGAGTGACATCGTCATTTGGACGGTCATTGTCACAAATCAAACGAGTAATTCACTGATCCTTCCAAAATTTAAACTAATCTTAATAGTCTTTAACTTATGAGCCAAATTCTATTTTCGTAAAACGAACATCACATTTTTACTCTGAGCCTTTGTTTCTTAGGCAAATCGTTTGAGTGTGTGTGTGTCGATCAGGGGCTCCACAGTTGTAAGTTTCATACAAAAAAAAGAAAAAAAAGCGGTCGGTAAGGATAACCATACACTTCGATTTAATAAAGTTAATTTTGAACAGGACAATAAGTGTTCATGTTGCATTCGTAATGTCACAAAAACCGAATATATCAATTTGTACTTACTATGCAAGAGTTTTACAGCGACAACTCTTCCTTCATTAAAATCCACTCTTTCCTCTTTTGGCTTAAAAAACACCTCAACCTTCGGCATTTCTTTCAGGATTCCTTTGTGTACTTTTCCAAATGCTCCCCTGCCTAGCTCTTCCATAATTGTGACACGTTCCGGGGAAATCTCTTTTAACAGCAGGGGAACAATGTCTGACTTCGATCTACAGAAATATTGTAGGGATTTTTTCTTTTTGTTTGTTAAAATATCAAACATACTCGTATACATCAAGCATTAAGGAAGCAGCTCAAGACTTTTACGCATGGGAACGGCATGTCAAATGAATGTTACCATGTGCACAAGACTTCGATTCTAGCCTTGACGAATACTTTGAATGGAACTATATGGGGAAAAGGAATTAGTGTATAACACTAGTTACTCTTTAAGAGTGCTTGTATTCGCTCAATCCTAGCTTTCACGCCAGGACTGCGTTAGCTTAAAAATTTCTAGAAATAAACCTACTCCCAACCTGCGATTCCTCAGACCTTGCAATTTTCTCTTTTTTCGTCTCTGTCTGAAGCAAAGGATTCCCGCAGTAATGAGAATGAGGAACCCACATCCTGCAGGTACAGCAATGGTCAGGATGCGTCTAATAAAATTAGTCATCTGCACGGTTTTTTCCAACCTCTCGGCGGCCTCACTTTCGCCCAAGTCATTCCAAGCAGACACCTTAAAAGCGTATTCCGTGTTACACTTGAGCGAGGGGAGATCCACTGAGGTAACATTTACGGTAACATTGATTTGATGCCAGTAGCCATCTTCGCTTGTAGATTGCACCTCTCTGTAGTATACTGTGTACAAGGTCAGCGGACAGCCGTTATCTGGTGGGGAACTCCATTTGATGCTCACATCACAACCGGACAACTGAACACCTCTGCCGTCTATAATCGGGGATGACGGTTTACCTGAGGCAAAAAAGAAGCGATAACACTTTAGCAAAAGCCTGCTAGAAGCATTCGTAAAAACATGACCTCACTCTCGTCTAGGGAAAGTGGTCAAACATTTCCTTGCGGTCTAAACTACAACAAAATACGTAATTAATAGATACATTTCAAATTGTCTCAGACGGCCAACGAAATAATATTAATACGACAACGAGATTTCAGCTACTTCCCTTGACCAAACCATATGTTTCTGGCTCAGTAAGAATCTTATACTATGAACTGTAATCACCCAAAAAGCGTATATCTACCGTACATGTTCTCATTGAAGAAACTAGGAATGAAAACACACACATCTGTTGGACGATGAAAATATCTCACCACCATCGAAAGATATTTCTTACGCAAATTTAAGTCCTTTGTAGGAGTTTTAAATGGAGCATGAGTGCAGTTACCTCCTAAGGTCCTAACGCTCCACAGTCTTCTGTGGTTTAGTGATGCAATCAGCGGCGTCTCTGTTGTAGAATTCCAAGCTGTTATAGCTATTTCATAGTCCCTTCGGCATCTGAGATGAAGATCATAACTTGTTTCATTTCCCGACACGTTCACTGCGTTCCAGAGGCTTTTACCCTCTGGAAGTATTTCTCTGTGGCATATAGTGAATAAAGAAGCAGTACATGGCTTCCAACGGATCGCCACCAGACTCCCTACCACTTGGTTGGTCCTGTTGACAATGATTGGGTACCCTAAGAAAAGAAGAAGGAAAAAAAGCAAACAAACAAGTAAACTAAAAAATATACAGACTAACAAACAGAACCAAAAAAAAGCAAAAAAAGGAGTTTGTCAATCTCGAATTGTGAGTGTAACAAAGGGTTGGACAGGAAAGACAACGACCAAATTTGGAAAGGTTAAGGGTGAAAATAGAAAGGCGCAAGACAGAATCGTCTTTACCACCCTCTTGTGTATTGTCGTTCATCTGACCGACGGATTGTACAGCCAGTCGTCTACTTTTCAATTGAAAATTGAATGGTGGTGAGTTTTCCACGGCTCTGTCTTCTTCCAGGCCTCACAAGCTAGCCTTTTTTACATTGGATATGTTCTGGTTGAGCCCAATGAATTTTGCAACTGGTAACAATCGTTTTGAGATCATTTCGGCAAAAATAGAATGAGAAAAACAATTGATATGAATACCTGTAATGGATTTCACTTTCCAGGACTCTGAAGGGTTACTTTCACCCAGTTCATTCCATGCAGACACTCTTAATTCATATTCTGTGTCACAATCAAGTGGTAGGGCACTTAGCTCTCTCGTACTCGAAGAGGCATTGATACGATTCCAAGTATTTCCCTCCTCTCGCAGTTTGATGGACTTGTAGTACACTGTGTGCATAGTAACTGGACAGCCGCTAGTATCACCAGAACTCCATGATATGGACAAATTAGGATACGACATTTCCTGCTCCTGGTTTTCAATGATAGGAGGTGCAGGTGAACCTGTGGGAGGATAAACGCGACAGAAAGCACACATCAGAAGTGAACAGGCTAATGTGACTAAGTTGAGTAAAAGCCAATATAAAACAAATATTGAAATAAATGCACTTTAGGCCATGTGTTAGACTTCTCCGTTTGGTTGAACTATATTTTTTCACGCTTCGACGTCCTTTTGTTTGCACGCCTTAATGACAAATGACATGACAATTGTTTTAAAAACCTATCCCGGGTTTGACGAGCAAATTTTCGTCTTTTTATTGAAGATCACCATTTTTTTTATCATTGTATTAGTTACCTAAGTAAACGGTGTCTAAGATTCACACTCAGATCAGTTAACCGAACCCGATCGGTTTGCTCAAAAATTCATCATATATAAATTCATGAGTGACTTTTTGGGCTGTCTAAGATCGTTCCACCGAATACATGTTACATTTGTCAACTTCTGGTACGATCGGCCTGAGTGAAACGCCTTCGGGAAAGAAATCTGAAGATTTGACCTTCCGACCACATTTCGAACCGCTCAGATATCCAGCAGACAACGATTAGTCGTACGTGTTCATTGCGCAGGTGTTTTCATAGCTTGAAAAGTAGGATACTGTTTAAAATAACACGATCAGTGCAGTCCCTAAAATTTTCATCATAATGCTTTTAATTAAAATGTTACGGCTAACGATGGTCACATGATGCAAAACTGACGTACCTGCAGGTATTCTTATTCCATACACTTCTACTCTAAGAGCTTTGTGAATATGATAGTCAACTGGCTGGAACCGAATGATCCGAGCTCTTGCCACCTCTACCAGAACATGTTGCACTATTTCATTCCTGTGTGAGTTGCCAATGAAAATCTGTAATAAAAATGGTCGGCATATAAGTGGATTTTATCCATGTATCAAAGTATTTCAGTAAATTCAAGAGAATACGCCTCAAAGTACATGGTTTAAACACAGTTGCGTTTACCTATCAGTTAAGTGCAAGATGATCAATACAGTTTTCACCAACGGATAAATTTTTACCTTTGACTAAACTGGTCGACATTCGGACTGCTAATCGAACCGTTATCTCATACAACCATGTCACATAGAGACTAAAGCGTACTTCTATAGTTTCTACTTTCTATAGTCAAACCTTTTCCGTGTCATTCTCTTTATAGATCATCCAATCCTCAAGGAACAAATAGAGCTTGTAACTTTTGGTCCATTCTTTACGATGTGGACTTCCTTGGGTAGCCACAGCGCAAATGAAGAACACGTTTCCAAGATTAATTTCCAGGTAATCATCAGCATTGCTATTATCCCTAGGGGACCAAGCACCCATGCCACTCCGTAGGCGCGCGTTGTAAGGTTCATCACCTTCACGGAATGATGAGGCTGAGAAACTTTTTTCTAGGAAGATGTTTTTGTTGGCCACCTCAACTGCCTGTGTCTGACAAGCTTCGGAAAAAAGAATTGAGAAACATCGTTAAGTTGAGTCCCTATCGACGGCCTCTTCCTTTGGAAAACCCTTTTCCTCCAAAGAACAATTACTTATCTTCCTGAGGTGGCCGTTGTGGAAAGGTTCCACATATGTACCAGGGATAGAGAAAAGAATCAGAAGAATGTAGTACGACTTAAACTGAAATACTTTCCCAGAGAGATTTCGATGTGGCTCAAATGTGAACGCATTCATCTTTTCTTGGCCCTCTTCATGATCATGGATGATACTACTACTTAACGTTTCTTGTGATGTCGATGTTACTTATGTATATTGTTTATAACAGTTGACAGTTTAATGGCAAGCATATCTTTTCCACTTGCAATTGGAGTTTATCTTGGTTTTTAAGTGAGATTGTACGCTTACCTTTTCTTCTTTTTTCAATCTTAGCTAACATTTCAAATTTTTTAGTACCTTCAAGGGAATGAAAGTGCTGGATTGGTAGAATAGTGTTTAATAAAATTGAGCGAAAATCTGTTCTTATTTTTTTTTTTTATGAAAATTACTCCTATTTGTATGTTACTCTAAGGAATGAACAATTTAACTTGCTACTTGCTGAAAGCATTAGTTTAGGGGCAGAGGATGAGACTGTAAGGGGAGGGTGTATGCCATAATCAGGACTTATTTGTAAGACTGTTAATTCAGTTAGTCAGGGAAATCCTACATTTGTCAGGAAAAAGTAAAAGAGAAGTATAACCCCTTGGCTATATCATCCATGAAATGTTTGACATGACAGCTCCTTACCCATTCTTGTCGAGCTTTGAGAGTAAACCTGCACCTCGCATAGGTAGAGAGTTTTGTCAGCGTTGGAAACTCCAATAAAAACAAATTTTCCCACAAGCCTAGGAAGACAAAAAATGGTCCGTTGTTTTAACGAGAAAGCTGTTTTAACCGAAAAAGCTGTTTCGGAAGTATCCTGTCCTCCACAACGCAAGTTTGAATTGCCTCTATTGCCACTGTCATGACCTGTCGGAAATGGACATAGGACAAGTCAGTTTTAACTGCATATTTGATCTCCGCTATCTTTTGCGTTGTCCTGAACTCACCGATCCAGACTTCAAGGCCATCAATCCACATACGCTTGTGACTAATAACGACCTTAGCTACTACCCGCGGTACTCCCAGGTCTACTCTCATCCAGTGGTCCTTCTGAAATGTGCCTTTAGCACAGGAACGAATATCTCCATCTAACACAGTGTTAGTCCATGTGGAAGACTGCTTAGGAGACTGATTCAAGGCAAGATCTAGAAGAAAGAAAAGCAACTTACTAAAGAAGCATAAATGTTCTGTATTACTTGTAAACTGAGATTCAGGTATAATGTAGCGCTGCTACTAAAATCTAAGTAGTTGCTGAAATGGGGGATTTCACAGTTGTATAATTGAGTCATCCTCTGAGGCACAACTTGAGTAAACCTGAGTAAATATTTTTTCTTTTCTTTGCCTCTCTCCTCCTTCCCACCTTTTATCCTTTTTCATTTGATCTTGCAAGTCACACTAAAACAGGCAGGGAAGGTAATATGGCCCCAAATAAATGTGTCCGGCAGCCTACTGTATTAAATGATGTCCAGGAATGAACGCAGTTGCGAAATTAACAAACTTTACCAAATTTCTTCGCAGAAACACGAAATAAATACTAGGTAGTAAAAACTGCATAAATTCAAAAGAGCTCTTACTAAAACCACCATAAATCAACTCATGAAGAATAAAAAAAAAACATGGAAACAAAAGACGGAATTGAGTATTTTTACTTTTTGACTATTTTATAGTTTCACGGTAAATCTGAGGGTCAGGATTGCTGACACGATTCTCATACATCCTTATGGATGCTAGTTATGGCAGTCTCACTCAAAACTTGGACTAAGTGGAGGGTAATTTTCCAACATAAGAGCAATTTTGCGAGGCATTATATAACAAGTCTTACTTGATTTTATTGAGGAGAAAACTTCAACTTCACATAGGGACAATATTTTTGATGATCCAGGTATCCGGATGAATAAGTGCCTGCCATACAGCGTCATATTACATCGAAAAAACTTTCCCTTTCCTTCAGGGACGAGAACATCACGGACGCAAATGCTATTAGCTGCTCCTCCTTTTGAGGTTTCATTTCCTTAAAACATTAAAGATAAAATGATGCGTGAGACTTAAAACCGCGACTGTTCATTAATGGTAAGACAAATAGGACTCTGTACGCTTATACTGTACCACGTGGACTATATGGCAAATGGGTATTTTTTCCACGAACTGTGAACAAAACATTAAAGAAGATTTTCAAGTAGTCTAATTATTGGTGATCATTTAAATTACAACACGAAGATTTTCATGCATTACATGACTCTGAAGCTCGAGGTCAAACTTACTTTATTTAGTGCCATGTGAACAGCATTTACATAAGAGATGTACAAACGTACGGCTACGCAGACGAAATCTCATAACAGAAGCAAGCAAAATAGATCGAAATCTGCCCATAACAACATAGGAACGGGAAATTTTGAAGCCCTCTATCGCTTAGGAGGTGTGCGACATGGTTGGAAGTGGCAAAACACGTAAGGTTTGATGGTGCGTTTGAAACTCAAATATTCGCATGCTATCAAACTAAGGCTTACCAATGACAAACGCATGAAATCAGGGAAAAAGTCAAAAAATTTTGAAAACACTCTCAATTCCCCAGTGAATTCAACCTTAAGTTACAATTAAATCATTAGTACTCACCCACTGTTATCTCAGTACCGTTTATTCTTCTCTCAATATTATCTCTACCGAGTATGAAGACCTGGGAAACGGGCTGCACTTGGTCAAGGTCGACTCTCCACCACGGATCAGTAGTGCCTCGGAGTATTGTCCGAGTACAGGAAGGACCTGAATCTACAAAGAGTCCATCGACGGCGTTACTAGCAAAACGCTCTTTAAAAATAGTTGACTGACTTGTGGGCTTCCAATGGGCCAGATTGTCTGAAAATACATGCAACGTCACTTAACCAATAAAGAAAACTCGATGTTTTTTCTGATTTTCCTGAAACAAGAATATAGTTAAGGGTTGCTCCCTTCTACTTGAATGCTCTCGAGCGCTGGAAAAGATAGTCACACCGATTACCTGGTCACTCGTTGAGCGATCGTTGAATTTTTTTTTCCTTTTTGTGAAGAGTACTCTTCCAGGACGGATACAGCATTTGTAGATGTGAGGGGAGGGAGGGGGGGAGGTTCATACGAGAATCCAGGCCGGTCACTGATAGGAGGTTTTGAGTGTTTCCTTCCCCAGAAAAATTAGAATTTTATCTCAGGAAATGCGACTTCCGAAATTCTGAGCTCCAGTGAGTGCGTTAACATGGCATCCCCTATTGAGTTTAAAACAAGAGATTTTAAACTTTTATAATCTCTTGACAGTATAATCTCTTATATATTGTCAGGCTACGTTTAAGAGATTGTCAATCACGCATTTTTGAAATGCTGAAGGTTGTGAGAACTCTATTCACATGGGAATTGCCATTTACCGCATCTCTTAACTTAAATGTAACGTCAGTTATCCAAGTTCAGGGGTTTGATAGAGCTTTCTGAAGCTTTGAAAAATTAATCGTTGACTATTTCATCGATATTATCACGCTAGGTAACCTTACCTTGTGTCAGCGGTGTTCCAAATGTCTCTACCCTCATACAGCAATTTCCGTAGTGTTCTTGGGCAATGATACGCAAAAATCTAGCAACAATCCCGTTGCACAAAGTTTGTTTTTTTGTGTTGTTTCGGTTAATATTTGCGGTGAAGATCTGTAAAGGTAAGAATTATCAGCAATAGTAAAATAGCAGCTGGTGTGATCTGCTTGAAAAACAATTAAAAAGGTGAACCTGTATTTACAATGTGAAAAGAATCTTTCCAAAATGGAAGGATTTCTTTAAAAGAAATATGTAGGGCTAACTAATCATTTATCATTCATTTTGAATAAATGCAAAAACGAAGATGGCTGCGAGCGGATTCGAATTTTATTTTCGAGAGTTAGTGATATCTTTCCCGTGGGAGTAACTTTAGAAAGGGAGGATGATTTTCATTCACAGTTTTACTTCTTATGACTATTTTTTCCCAGAATTCTAAACGAACGAACCTTCAATATTCCTGCCTCTCGATAGTCTGTCCATGTTGTCCCATCCTTGGATGACTGAAGTGTGTACTTCTTTACCCACTGATCCCCTTGAGAATTTCCCTGAGTGGACACAGCACAGATGATATAAAGCTTCTCAAAGTCAAACTGTAGATATGGCTGACTGTCATTTGTTGCTGCACACCATGATGATCCGCCAGTATAGTTCAATCGACCATTCTTAGCAGGTGTATTGGTATTTAGGACAGAGGACGAACTGATGTCTCTATCCAGAAAGTATCCATTGCCAAGTCCTAACTCTATATCCTGGCACCCTGGGACTGCGAAAATAAGCAGTTTAAATGTTTACATAAAAGGTGATCTAGTCAAATTCCTTTTTCCCACCAAGCTGTAGATTTGGCCAATGAGAGTTTTACTAAATATGAAGAGCTCGCTTCAAATAAAATACGTAATTTGCTCTCAAACGATTCACTGTGGCCTCTAACCAGTTGATTTTGCGGAATTTAGAGCGACAGCTCCTTGAATCTGATAAAGAAATGTGGCTAACTATTCTTAAGTTCAACGATTTAACAATCAGTCTTACTGATCTTTTTTCGACTGGTCAAAACTTTAGTTTTATTTTTGATTAAGTTTTGTCCGCCTCAAGAGTTTCAACACATCCTGTCATGTTCCAGCGATGAGGGAGGCTGAAAGACCAACCACTGCCAAGGAAGCTGAGAAAGTGTGAAATGACGATGAGCAGAAAGAGAGCGAGAGAAGTTTATAAAGATCAAGAATTTACTGCTGGAAAATTGCCTCTTTTGCCCGCTGGGATGTTGGAGCAGAAACAGAAGTCATAAGCTATGTACGACTCAGTGCTTTACTGGCTTAAAAGAAGAGGGATGGCTGATGACCAGCTACCTACACCAGAAAATCAGATCAGATCCTTTAGGGGAGGTGTATAGATAGCTGCAACCGTAAGCATTGACTATCCGCTGGCCGTGAAGGTGTCTGTGCATGTGCATGGCTGAAACACGTTTTAAAGTTGTAAAAGTTTTGGTCAGAGGCCATATTCAAAACAATAAACCACCGATCAGAGCAAATGGCGGAATAATTACCTGCAACAGTCCACTTAACAGTTAAATACAGGCCTGGGAAGGTAAACCTGGCAGTTTAGATATATAGTGCACCAGAGCCCTCCAATGATTACCAGGAGCAAATTAATAATAAAGGACAAAGTTGTCAATTTAATAGTAAGAATAAACATCCTGAAATCACTATCGGTCAAGCCGTGTGCAGCGAACGGAGTTCTCCTCGGAGGAATAGTGTTGTTCTGCCCAAGGCTCTTGATGTAAGTGTCAATTTCAGCCATGAAGGTCATCAGGGCATCGTTATGATAAAGGTGCTGCTCCTTTCAGCTTTTTGGTTCCCTAGCAGAGACTGTATGATCGAAGATATCGTCTGCTGCTGTTTTCTTTGTCAAGATACAACTCAAGAGAAGCGACCATTGCACAGGAAGTGTTAAGGGCTGAAGGTGGTATGATTGAACACACAATACGGGGCGAAGTATTTTTACAACTAAGGTTTCAGTGAGTTCATGGACTTCGAGCCAGTCCAAAAAATTGCAGTCGGTGGTAAGAGGCTTACGGATTGTGCATGAAGAAATCTGAGCCCAGAATCTGCCAGAGTAGAGTCAGCATTAGCAAATATATCATGGGTTTCCCGTGTAGCATCTCAGTTCACGTGGACGGTTTTTTGACGATTAGTATGGTACAGTTTTGTATATTCGAGGTGTTTTACCCTCTCCTATGTTGGAATGAGCAACCCTGCTTTCTCTAGGCTGTCGGCGAAAGAGTGGTGTCTTTATTGTATTCGGTCTTTAAATGGTCTCTCTACAGTCTCGTGAACATTTCCGCAGCTTAGCTGCTGCTTTGTGCAATGAAATTCTATTATGGCCTCAAGTAGTTAATGGTCGAAATAGGCTTCTATGTCTGATTACTATATTTTAGGTGATCATAATCTTCTGTCACAGTCGAGATAGCCAATTAATCGTTGTTTGGTGGTATCGAGGTTGTTTGTTTTGTTAGTGTAGCGTACGGCGTCGTACCGTGTCTAAAATATGAGTGAGACGTGTACAAAACCCGACAGAGATTTATTTACCGACCCTATATGAAATCTCGGCCGTGTAGCCAAACGATCCCTACGACACAAGTTTTACATGAAAACGATACTGACGAGTGTGACAACGTGACTTCTTACGTCATACACCACAGTTACTCACTGCTTGGTGGCGTCGATCTCTATTGGGCTGAAAACGTGCTCCGCCTAAGCCACCCTCACTGGTATGTTTTTGTTGAAAGGTTTGTTTGATAGGCCACAGGAGAGTCGAGTTTGAGTTGTTTGCCTTTCTTGAATGAGCCATCTTGCGCTTGTGCCCAGCTGCAGGGGTATCAGAACGGCGAGTTCTGTGAGAGGGTGGATGATCATACTGAGGTTAGGAAGTAGGTTGAGAATTCCCACGAATTTCTGTACATCAGCTTTGCCTTGGTACAGGGTCATGACCAATATTGCTGATGCTTCGTCAGGACCCTCATAGAGGCAAAATTACTAGATGTTGATTGGCTGAGAGAGGACATTCTTTCTTAATCACAAGGGCACTTTTGTTAATCAAGAGGGCATGATAAATTGCTCCTGATTAGTTAAGATATTGTTAGCAAAGAAGGGCTGTTGAGATCATTTCCAAGAATATTTTTTGATAATAATAGCTGCCCGTTCTATTGACGCTCGACGAGGACTCCATCGAAGAACTTATACAAGGAAGTTAAAATAAAAACACCAAAATAAGTACAAAAAATTAGAGAAGAATAGAGAACTTCAGGGCTGAGAAGTACCACAGTTCAGCATAGCATTCGCTCTATTTTTCGCTGAGCTGTCCTCAAAACGAGGAAGAAAAGTGGCTCGAACCAGACTCGTTAAAATTTGTGCAAGCAGCTTTACGGATCCTTATTTACGAAGCAAACACTGTCCAAACCCAGTTGCTTGAGATACAAAGTAATTTTCATCAAGGAAAGCATAAAAACTAAAAGAAAGGAAACCTCATGAGTTTGGAATAGGGAAGCGGCAAAGCAAGTTCAAAGTCTAACAGAAGAAGAGGAGGAAACACTGTGGGACAATGGCCAGTTGGGCGACGAAGCCCCTTACTTTTTCATTAACACAGTCTGCTGGCTACTAAAAACGCACTTACAAAGCCGGCAAGAGCAGAATTTGTCACTTTTTCTGGAGGTTTAATGAAGACAATAGGCGACGGATTGAGTTTCAAACCGCAGTTACTAGTATAACCTCAAAGAGGTCTCGACTTGCAAGAAGAGATGCCACGATGAATTGTTCAAGAAGTATTTAGATAAACGTCCGGTAGAGTTGATGACAACAGGGCCACTGAAACTCAATGTTATCGACCAACTATAGATGGGCGTGTAGGACAAAGAAACGCCCATCGTGGTTGTTCAGAAATCGAAGGGCTGCGACATTTCGAACTGTGCGATAAAAAAAACAGCAGAAACTGATGTCCCAACGTCGTCGACAATGCCACAAAATGAAGACACGTACTTATTACACTTTCTTCTCTCCAGCAAATGCAAGCAGCTCTCAGTCAAGTTTATCTATATACGTTATTGACCAAGGGTGAGGTCACGATGGTTGGATTATGACCGTTTTCTTTTTTTGCGTCTTTATGGACCGAGACGAAGGACCGTCTTGCTCTCTTAGGAAGCCAATCAGAACACTGGGTTCGTTTTATACTCCCCACGGGTACTACCAGCGATACAATAATAGATTAATACAGACCCTAAGAAGTATTTGGGATTGCTTAGTTTCCAGTAAGAAAGTTTTAAATCTAGTTGCTAGAATTCATTTCGCTCCGCCTGGTCATCCAAACTAGTGAGGGTACCTTACCATAGCCGAAAATCCACTCTTGATTCGAAAAAAAAGTGAATCGTACTTGTCCAAGCACATTTACTCACTTTTGAATTCGTAAATCTCAACTCTGAGGCAGTTCCTTTCGTGACGCCGTGTAGGAAGAAATCGGAAGTACCTTGCATATACTGGCAGTGGCAACTTGTGTTGGTTGGTTTTGGAACTGTTAACCATCCTTCGAAATACCTTTGACACAAATGCGTAAAGAAGGAACACTGCATTACGTTAAGGAAGAGAAATATTCTTAAAAGAGACCTCCTTCGAAAAGCAAACGGAATCTCGAAAGTTTTAATATCAGATACAATATCCAACCGAAGAAATTGCCTTTACGTTCAACAAAGCATGAAAAAACTGTTGGTCTAATTGTTCTATTAGATAAAACAGTTCGTGTATCAAAGCGTTTCTTGATACGATTACTGCTCACGGTGTCTTTACATTATAAATCTTACCATTACTTCTCCATTTTCATCCCGATAATTCTTCCAATTTTCTCCATCAAAAGAGTAATCCAGCTTGAAATCTTTTACCCATTCCCGTCTCGCGCTTGGTACGCCTCCCTGAGTGGCGAGACCACATGCCTGAATTGTTTTTCCGATGTCAACCTGAAGCCATTCAGCGTTACTTTTAGCCTCAAGTGAACACCAACCGTCGCCTCTTTTATCATTGAGGCGACCATAAGCCGCCCTGGTAGACGGCCTATTTCTGGATGATGCTGTCATCTGACGATCAAAGATGATACTGGGAGTTGCAACACCAACAGGATTACTAAAGCAATCTGCAAAAATTGATTTGACACAAAAAATTGATGGGCCGATCAATTCAAAGCTTCAACATCCCCGCCCGGGCAAAATATGGGCATTTGACTGTCATCCGTGCCCAGGGAATGGGGAATTTGAACCTTGCCTAGGTGGAACTTGAACCAGAACTGTCAGGTCTATCCAGCGTAATTTTTTTATGTCTTAGTGTGGAGGTGTTTAAAGGCAAAATGTTCACTTTCACGAGCAGATGGCTCAGAAGTAAAAAAGGTCTATAAGAAAGTCAAGGTCACTAATCGTGGTTTAAACAAAAAAAAATAGAATATCAAATCCGGAATTTAGGTGCGGCATTTAAACACATTTTTGGCCCCAAGAGCTGGAATTTGATCGAACCAATCTTCAAAGGTTCAAAAGCCAAGGGGGAGCATGTTGAAGCTTCGCTTTGATCGACGCATAAAGACCAAATCATGCACTAATCGATTTTTCCTTGCATTAGAGGCTGCCTTCTTTCATAGTTACAACTTACAGTTTCATTTCGTAGTTGTGGTATTAATGGAGGTTGTCAAACCTAACTTCTTTTATAAATTCTGAGTACAGTAACTACATGCATGACGACTAGAAATTGTCTCGGTTGCAGCAGTAAACAATAAGAATCAGGCTGAATATTTTTTTTAAGCTCAAAGTCTCTTTGGCTTGGATTGCTATTTACCACTGATTCAACTTATTTTTGAAAGCCGGGTTCAGCCTTAAAAGTATTTCACTGCCTGTGGATTACCCATCTCACCTCATGAGAGAACAAAGGAGACAGTAGTAGACCTCTCAAACTGACATTTATCACTTGAAATTGAAAACGGCATCATGACTGAGCGTCGAAGCTCAGAAAGTAAGTATGCCTCCAAGAAACGTGTGAGTTGCCTGCAGTCTACGAAGGTATCACATCGGTAAGTGATATTCAGCTTATGCGTTTGTTTAAGGATGTAGTATCAGACGTATTGTGATGCTTTGATAGTTTACAATCATTAAAAGTAGCGAGCAATAGTCAAAAGCTGAAGGCTGTTATTCTATCTCCCTCGCGTCGTGGTTCGAACTATCATGTGAAAATTCTTAGAAAATTGCTCAAATTTATCAAATTAAGCAACTCTTTAGTTCACAAGTGCTTGTTTTTCTTTTATTTTTGTGAAAATACGCATCAAAATATTTTTCTTACCTGGCAACTCACCAGAGACGTCGGGATATCTAGAACTCTGCGAAAAATTAAGAAATTAAACACCATTAGACATGACTTGGAAAACACCGAAAAGTGGAGACTCAAAAATGTAAGAACAGGTCTATGAAGGTCAAAAATTTCATTACAGAGCCGGGTTTCCAATAAGTTTGAGCAATAAGTTACGATCAAATAAAGGCAGGGTGCATTAAATTCAATGATTCAGGTTTTTTTGTGTATTATTTTTGAAGACTTCAAACGGCTGCTTGTCTGGCTTTCAATTTTGGTAGCTTTTTGGTTACATGACTAAATAGATACAATTATTCTGTGTTTTCTGAATATTGAATGACTTCATTCAAATCTGAGGAAAGTGAAGATACCCACCAGAATCAACAGGACTGCTAGTTCAGAAAGACGCAGAGCCATGATGGTATAGCGAGACTTTTTACTCGACGAAAACCTGACCATGAGAGATGTTGATAAATAGTAATAGGGCAGTCTTCAACACAACATAAGCACAACGGGAAATTGTAAAATGAACGACAAGAAGTAGCAGAGACCCTCTCCCTTTGTAAGAATATTTCTATCACAAAAACGCCTGATCAATGAGCATGCTAGAAGAGTTGGTTTCAAGAAGGGTTATCGATAGCTACTAGCGCTTGTTTCGAGATAACTGAGTTTAAAATTCGGCGCTGTGCATTTATGAAAAAATAAATGATTCAATGCAACCTGAAATGGCACTGCTCGTTAAATTAAATGAGTAAGTTACTAGTAATCGATCCTTGTGTTTGCGCAAACATTTGTGGGATCGCCACTGGGCAAACTTTGCAACTCGCTAGAAAGAAATATACTGCGGAAGGTTGGTTTGACGTCCGAAAAACGATTTAGGAGAGAGATCATCGTTTTTTTGCCACAGTTTTATCAGAAATGAGTGTGGGTTATATAAATACAAAGGTAATGCAAGGTTTTGTTGGAATAACCGTGAAATATGTTGTAAAATCTAGTGATTAACTTTTTCTCTATGCGCAAGGGTTATATTGAAATTGACATCGCGCAAAGATCTCGAACTTCTGAAATATTAGGTAAAAATCGCTAACAAATTTCCCAAAAAAGCTTTTTCAGTTTTATTTACGTTTGTTGAGTCTACTTTTAGCTCTTTTCTTGGTTTGGTAATGCGGAAAGAAAACACTACAACAGCTACCTCGAGGCAGCACGGGATTGAAATGGTGTGCTTGAGCATTAAATGTTATCATGATACATTAAGTGATTAAACACCTACATTTCCTATTTCTTATGATCAATCGGAACGAACCAGCGTTGATGACCGACTAAAAACTGAAGCCTTTCTTATGCGACGATGAGTAGGTACAAATGGGTCGCTTGAGGGGCGATGCACATATGTCCACATTTTGCTGTTCCTGACAAGATCCTCCAAAGAGTTGGAGGAGAAAAGTGGCTACCCAAAAATCTCTGGATATTTCTCGACAAATTATCACTTGACCTAGGGATTTTCTTTTGTTTTTCATCGCTTATTTCATCCTTCCAAAGAGAAACAGCTCGGTAAAAACAATTTCTATCTCCGCTGACGACAACTTCTCTCCTTTGAGGTGGTATATTTTCAGCCATCGTAATATGTTTATCTTAATACAAACAGGCTCTACATACAAAAATACGACTGGAAAAACTTTAGTGAGTTATTTCTTTGCGATTTATGGCAAATTTCGTAAGATGTCGAGACCATTACGCGATGACGATTTCACCAAAGACCTTACGCAGGGAGAGAAGTTAATTGGGATATTTTATAACATATTTCGTGGTAATGCTAACAAATACTTAATATTCCCTCGTATCAATATTATCTTAATCCAATTATGATTAAACTACGGCGAAAAAGCATTGATTTCCCTCCAAAATCGCTTTTTTGGACGTCGAAACAACATTTCGCCACGTATTTCGTTCTAGCAACTTGCAATGTTTGCCCCGTGGCGATTCCAGGAATCTTTGCTCGTGGTCGTAGCTAGACTAGCCTATCATGTATTTTTTCTGCATTCCCGCCTAAATTTGCAGATGTGTTAGACCCTGGATAAAAGTTCAGCCAAACTCGTCAGAAATCTTCGAAACAGGTGATTGCAAAGAAACGAAGATCAAAAAATTTGGTGATAGCTTTCACCTTTTTTATTTCCCCTCTCACTCTCTGGTATAAAATTCAGTTAGGACCATTAGAGACACTAGTTAATGACTCGCATCGGATATGGCACAATAGATGAAAAAAGTTTGTTCTTGAGGATAATGGCAATGGACTTGTGACCGAACATCACTGTAGTTTTTACCCCTGGCTTCTCTTATCCCTAAAGCCCTGACAAACACCGTTTTATGGTTTTCTTGCAAGTTTACGATAAAGGGAATCGCTGTATTATTGATAAAATCCAATACCACCGATTAGGGACTTCTAACCTTTTCGAACGATTTATGGTGATACGCTGGAAAATACATTTAGAGGTAACTTCAACTCATTTGAAAAGAGAACTTAACTCTAAAACACAGTGAATTTCTCAATGTTTTCCAATCATTTGACCTGGTTGTAAAAAGTATCTCAGGAAAGCATTTTTTCAACTTTTGAAGCCAAAAATTCATCGTCAACTCGAAGTTTCATCGGTTAAATTTGTATCACATTCCTAATTGCACGTTGTTCTAAGCATGTCCTCTCAACTTAAACTCGATTTTGCATCATTCAACTTAAAGTTAGACGGATGCGTTAAAAGAGACTTTGACTTTTCACACAAAGCGTTCTATAAATATTCTGAATTGATATTTAAAAATCGATTACTCCTCAAAAGTGCCATCAGAAGGAAGTCTATATAGCATGTGCAGACCACACGTTCTCTGTCACGCGCTGGCCAAAAATTAAATCTAAATGTTACAAATAAATATCAGCTGTATATAATGAAAACCTACTCGAAATTATGGCATTACTATTTGATCAGTTTTCCATAAGCCGAAATTTGAATGAAATAATTTTCTTTTACCTAAGAAAACTAGTTTTCCTGGTTAAACATTCTAGGAACAAAAACTCTCGTCGAGGGACTCGAGGGGAAGACTTGCAGATATAAAATTTCTTTTGATTCTTTTTTTGCTTTGTTTTTTCGTTTTTTTGTTTTGTTTTGTTTTGTTTTGTTTTGTTTTGTTTTTTTTTGTTTTGTTTTGTTTTTTTCGTTTTTTTTTTTGTTTTTTTTGTTTTTTTGTTTTGGTATTTGTTTTTTTGTTTTACAATATTCTAGAAAGATAATTCGTCAAGTCATCAGCGCGAGCAAATAAAGACTTCATTCAAACTGACAAATTGCGTGTTCATTTCTGGACAGGGGCTGTGAACATCTGTAAAATGGCATCATTAATGAACAGCTTGTAATACACAGGAGAATAATTTAGAATTAGTCAGCTCCTTTCTTTTCTTTGTGCATCAAATAAAGCTTTGATCAGAATTGGCTGTTATCGAGGAAATTTGCTTCAGGACTCATATCTTAACTGATTCAGCAAACATATTTTTGGGTTTTGTTTCATCCAGACAAGTTAGTCAATTAAGTAGCAAAATATGACCAAAATAAATTCCCATCGACTCATTCCTTTTTTTAAGAACGCTTTTATGACCATGACTTTGAAAAAAAGTCCTTTTCCTGAGGTTTTTTAATCGTTTTTTTGCGTTGCATAAGAAAACGCCATTCGCAGTTAGGAAAAGCGATGAAACTATTAGGCGTAAATATTATATTCAGCGGCACTTAATTTAGGACCGGATCGCACTTGAAACGAATTTAAGTATTCTATTTTTTTGCAGGAAAAACAAGGACAGAAATTACGCAATTTTCAAATTTTGGAGGCGGCCCTGTCAATCACAAAACTATCTCGCTAATAAACGAACTGAACGAAAGAATTAACCAGATTTTTGCGCCTTCCGCGTTTACGTGGAATTTTGTCTCTTGGTCTTAATGACACAAAGTAGCGTTTTAAGTATGTCGGTGCAGTATCAGCAGTTCTTTTGGCGGTAGCATTGACTTTTAGAACTCGCACCTTTCAGTTAAATACATTTATTCTATCCACACGTCTTTCATAATATGACATATGAATGGTTAAAACTAAAATCTCTTGTTTTGTCGAAATTAAAAGTTTTCGAGGCAAGACTTTGGCTCTTGAGAAGATCACTTACAAGATTTTAACAATTCGCAAAAATTTGGCAAGTTGCTTTAGACTGGGAGAAGTACTTATTCTACGATAATTGTTGACGGAATTGTAACTCTTAAAAAGCAAAATAAGCTCTAGGGTTAGGGATTAGGTAGAAGTTCAAAGCATGACAACTAACTCCTACAGAGGTCTTTTTTCATAGTGGATGGTTTTACTCTGACTGCTAGGGTTTCCTTGAGTTGTGATTCAAACTGCCTCTGTAGATTAACCAGCTTAAATTTATCGGGGCCTTTCATCATAGAGGGTCTATATCCTTCTATCTACTTATATGAAAACGCTTAAGTTAAATACCTTGTCATCCTTCCGCGACATGATATCTTGTTCTGAAAGCGAAACAGACATTCGCCAACTGTTTCTACATAATGTACATCGAGATGTTAATGAGTAATCTACGTCATTCATAATATCTTCGATATCTTTTGTCAAGTACTTGGTGAATAATTATTATTATAACATCTTGCACTTGTTGGAGTCTTGTTATCTTCGTTTCAACGTTTAAAGATAGCTTGTGCATGACCCCCGAATTTGCGAATGATGTTACTGAGCGAACTGTGACCGCTATGAATAAACAGCTTCTTAATTCTTAGATTATCAATATTTTCAAATTATGAAGAAAAGGACTCACAGCAGTTTTTCTTTTTCTTCTTAGAAGAATTTGCTTACTTTCGCCCCATGCCCTCGGTACGTTTTTATAGCTACTACCTCTCGTAGAGGCGAAGCCATAACGTTTTGCTTTTGAGTGACTGAATGTAACAATAGAATACGAACGACTAGAGATACAACAGAGTTTCATTTTGCTTTTCTTAGTAAAATTACGTGGAATTATATTTTCAGGCAACTAACTGTAGACGAATAATATAAGGAACGGCAGTAGTAAGCGTAGTCTCTTTCGCAACCGTTATTTGGTCTCATCACGCAACGCGCTCTCTCTCCAACGGGGAATAGATGGAATTGTGTGACGAGACGAAACAACTGCTTCGAAGGAGACAACAGTAAGTGTGGCACCGATGCATTTTATTTTTGCTTAGAAGTATTTAGACAATAGAGACAATAGACCACAAAATACCCGTGTTAGTTCAGATAATTTAGGTTTTTTTCTTTCTCTTAAGGTGAAGTAATGCGATATTTCCGTCCGTTTTAAAATAATGATCTTTTTCTGATACAAAAGTGAAAACATGAGGTACACAAAGTGCCCCATCTTAACCCACCCGTCTAAAAAAGATAACTCTTGCATGCTACGCATGCCTATGTTTAAAATTTTTTAGTCATCTCACCCCAACCCCACCCCGGACAATTTCTCAAATCTTTCTCCAGACAGGGGTATGTAAGTAAAGAACCTTCTTCCAAATTTGGAAAGCTCGGTGGATTGCAGTTGAAGTCCGCCATTTTAGTTAGAGAGCGTCGTGGAAGATGAGTGAAGAAACAGCCCCTGAAGAAAAGCCGAGTGAGGTAACATTCGCTCCTACCTATAGTTTAGTCATGTGTTTCTTTTTCCCTCACCATTTTCTGTCTTTTAGCTCACCGAAGAGCAGAAACTGGCGCTCAAGTTTCCGGGGAAGAAACCAGTTGCCACTGATATTTTGAAAAAGAGAATGCAGAGAGGGGTATGATTTTTACAGCACTTTTAAAACTCCTTTCACTCTTCATAGACTTGTCGAATGTCTATCGTTTTCTGAAACGCTGTATCTTTCTCGTTCAGGTGAAATATTTTGATTCTGGCGATTACGCCATGGCGAAGAGCGAGAAAAAAGTAGGTCCCGCCGCAGCGGCCATTGGTAACAGGGGAAAATTGCCCGTTGGAGTCGGAAAAGCCATCCCCACACCCGATAACATCCCACACAGGAAAACGTCTGTGCCTAGTAAGTTGGTGGAAGGCCAAGAGCAGCCGCCAGTGGCGGTAACACGGTAGTTTTAAGCTGCAAACTGAACAACTGATAATTTTGCACTTCTTGACATCCGCTTTTTGGATCGGAGCAGTAGTTTGTTTCTGAATCTTAGAATTATATTTTGGTAAAGATTGTAGAAAAATTCTTTAATTTATCGTGTAATATTCGCGAATTGTGGATTTAAAATCAAGTTAACAGGCCAAACTAGCGATTTTTATAGCTGTGTAAACTCTTAACTGTATTATAAATGTCTATTTTGAATAAATTTTTCAAGAGCAAATCCGAGCACACAAAATAGAAAGTAAATTAAGGTCGAATGATTCTTTTGAACATGAAATTTGCGACAAATCATTTACTTTCTCCTTGACGTTGAAAGCACTGTTAATGATAACGGTGAAGTTGTATACTGCTCGTCTTATTTTGCAATCATTACGCAGTAAACGCATGGGGGAAGTTTGAGCTCACAACTGTACGTACGGCGTTTTGTATACATGTAAGTGGACCATTCAGTCATATTATCAGTGAAGTGAAGTTCCAATCTTTATCGTAGCTGGGAGAGTAATTTTTCATGGGGATAGGGGTGACTGGAGACTGATCTGTTTCTGAAAACCCTAGTACATTGTACTTCTAGGAATTTTTTTGTTATTATACAGTATTGTTTTGGTAAAGTTATTAAGAAAGCTGATAATATTCATACAGGACATCAAATAACCCCCAATTGACTGCTCTTCTAATTAGATTTTTTCACCAAGATGTGATTTTGGAGGGAAAGTATCATAAGTGACAAATTCAGCTGAAATTACAGTTGATGAATTGACAGTAAAATTGGTATGTTGTTCCAGTTAAATCAGTTTACAACATGTGGAAAGCACACATTGACACACAGCCCAATGCAATATTAGAAGCATATAACCTTTTCATGGCTAAGTAATATGCTTCTTGTAATACAGACAGGAACTCTTAAAATGTCTAGACAACTACAGGTGAAATGACTGAAAGAAATTTTGTGGTAGTTTTAAATTATTTCATGTAAACATTGTTTACAGCCAGGTTTGTTTCACATCAGCAACACTTAATCGTTTCACATCATTCCATTTCTGGTAGTTGTTTAGCTGCAACATGAGTTTGACCAAATTGGTTTTATAATCTGTGATCCTTGTATTCAAATGAGTCCATTTTTAGTAGCTTCGTAGTAACTGTTTGCCAGAGTGTAACTTTTCAAACCATTTTTGTACTGTTATTTTAATACCTCTGCTTCTTCTTTTTGAGTATTTATCTGTAAAGGCTTGCTATGAACCCAGTGTAGTTTCATATGGCTAGAATCCTAAATAAATGATAGAAGAATTTTTGAACAATCTAGAAGTTTCCAGTCTTTTACATTTGCTCTAATACATGTACATAAAACAATCAACAAAATCATAGTGACTAGTAAAAGAAGATTTGGTCACAAATTACAATGTTTTACACTGTTTTGGTTGGAATTTAGGTGACACTAATAATAGTATTTAAACCTTTGCTAGCAGCTGGTTTATGGGTCGGTAACATTTGACAGTTTGAAGCTGTAAGATTGTTAAAAAATTAACAGTTGGTCAATACCATGATTTTAACTGTACGAACTTGTGGTAGTATTGTAGCAAGGTGCTACTCTCTATTTATCAGAAAGTCTAGTGAAATTTATTTCTTTTCCATTTCTTTTTTTGTAACCTTCTTTTATCTATGTGGATCAAGATGCTCAGCATTAAATTCAGATTATGCTAACTGATTCAATATTACTGAGATGTGATTTAGGAAAGGAACTGATAAGTCATCTCTATGAGAGGATTCATTGGTCTCTTAATGTTCTTTAATGTGTCTTGATCTGAATCACTTTGGATCCAAATTTTCCTGAAGAAAGTATGTTTCTTTTTGATAAACACAGTTTGTTTACCCCTTGCATGAGGCTGTTTAAGTGTCTCTTTCACAAGGGGGCCAGACTGAATTGTGTATACAGTGTAAATGTAGAGAGAGCGTGAACATAGAGTATTTGTGAGGACCTAAATTGAAAGGCTCAGAGCAAGAACGACCCCTTGATTTTTCAGCCATTTTTGAAAGTGTTCAGAAGTAGTTGAATTTTGGCATGTGGACTTAGTTTTACTCAATATACACTGTTTTGGTTTTTTTTTCGCTGGTTTGCGCTTCGTTTTCGAGAAATAACGTATGCAAAAAAACCTTGAATTTCGTAGCGGCTTTCATTGAATGAAGCCGAAACAAAAGGAGCCTTTTGTTTCATCAAAACAATACAGCCCCCAAGAACTTGCATATTCATAACCAGCTTAAAGAAAGAGCATGTTTTTTGTTTTGAGTTTAAAACACCGTTTAGCAAACGTAAAATATCCTTGAACAAACTCGCGCTACGGCAGAATTGAAGACAAAACCAAAGATACGTTGACATAGCCAAAAGTTTATACGAAAACACTCCTGTCGAACGCTTACGCGAAGGAGTGCCGCAGTTTTATTTCACGATAAAATTTAAGCTGCGTAATCGAATGTTCTCGTAGCACAGTCGGTTAGGCATTGGACTCGCAGTCAGACGGTTGGTACGGCTCTTTTTTAACAAATGTCTTTTTTTTCGCTCACCCTTTTTTTTTCCTTCTCTTTTTCAACTCGGGAAGAGGCAAAGCCATTTTCGAGAGTTTGATACGTTGACATCGCCAAAAGTTTATACGAAAACGTTCCTTTCGAACGCTAACGTGAAGGTTATTGGTCTGGCTTGTTTTGAGGTTATTCAAAATTTCTTGGTTACATTATGCGTAATTGTGTTGACTTGTACATTTAAAAGATTTCACTTAAATGTTGTGTCAATTTGTTTATTTATTCCCTCTTAACCTCTAAATCTAATCAGTAACTAGATTAATAATCTTGTTTCTGAGTTTAAAAATTTTCTAACCCATTAACTTTGCCTGATAACTAAGTTACTGTCTTTGCATGATGTTCTTGTCCTTAATTTGACTTAAATGTTTTTCAATTTTTTGTAAATAATAGTGATTTGTTCAACTATGTCATACATGTGTGCCCTATTATTGTATTCAGAGATATAATAACTCCATTCTCACTCTATGCTGCAGCAGACTATCACACTCGTGCAAGAAGTGGAGAGTTTAACCTTGTAATGGATCAGTAATCTTCTGGTTTGGAGAGTGCTCAAGACTTCATCATTAGTTAAACTAAAAGCTACACTTGTAGTTAGCATAAATGATCATGGTATATTAATGTTCTGAGGTAATAATGCTTGACTTAATTTTATGAAGTAGTGTAACATAAGTACTTACTTGCTTTCAAAGTTTAAACACTTGCACTATTTTTCCTGATAAGATGTACTCTTTCTTGTTCATTTGATGCTGTGGCTATTGTAATTTGATATGGAATTAATGGTTAACTCTGTGTTAAGTAGTTCACTGAAGAGAAACTATTTTTTGTTATGTAATTGTACAGTAATGTGGTAAAATATTTACTTAAAGCTCTTTTATTCAATTGCTTAGGGCATAGGATTTTGGCAGGGTGAGTTCCAGTTCTCAAACTAGTTGTTAGTGCTTACCAGTGCCAGCTGCATGTTTATATCTACATTTTCCATGTACAATCATTATTTATAAAACTAAATTATCATAATTTAAGCATGTCTATAGTTCTCTGCAAATGGTATTTAAAAGGAAGAATACTCAGTTAGTTAACAAGATGTGTGGAAAAGGTAGAAAAAATATATTAAAATGTATAAATTGCCAAGGAACTCTTTGCTCAAACAAATCTTTCCTCTAACAGTCTTGTGCTAAAACAGGTTGGTGGACTCCTAAACTACATGTAAAATCGTTGAAATGAAATAAAGGGACCTAAACTTATCATATCAGGAAATATATCTCCAGATGGCAGTAAAGCAGGTTCTAAATTGTCTTCTTTTCTCCCTCTCTCCAGTGCAATTCCTTTAAAAAACTGGTTGTGAAAAAACAAATAACTTTATCATCAATTATGATATCTCATTGTTTTAGCTTATTCAACTAAAACCTTGTAAAGAAGGAGATGTGTTTTATTTTTCAAAGCTCTTTCACCCTAAATTTACCAATTTTTTGACCTGCATTTTGCCTAACTCAAGTTACTATCCATAAGAGGAAGTGAGACAGCTAAAGGAGAGAATAAATTGTCCAATTGGAGTGAGTCATTAGAGCTGTATTGATCTAGGCTGTAGCTCCACCTCTGTCTAGTTTTTTATTATAAGTGCCAATTTTGATAATGCATTGACTGTCTTTCACTCACAAATGCAATAGCATACTTCAATTAAATTCATGACTTTTTGTTACCTATCAATTCTCATGTATTCCAAAATTGTTTATAAACAAACATTTACATGCCTCAAATGGCATTTGCTTAGAAATAAAAACAGTTCCAAACTGACCTGTGTGATTGCCTCTTAATTATTTGAATGAAGTTTCAAAGAACCTTTAGATTATAGCTTACAAAGAATATATTAAGAGGTGAGGCAATGAACTTTGAGAGTAAGTTGTTACCTATCTTGAGACAAACAGCTGTATCAATTTCCAGCTATGATCTTATTTGCATGTGTCATTGAACATGCAGGTTGGGAAGTTGTTTAGATGACTTTCATCAAGATTGAAATTTGGTGACAGCTTAAAATTGCAAACTGAGAAAGTCAGTGGTCTAAAATGTCAAAGTGATTTGTTAAATAAGCTGTGAACTTTAAAAATCTACTTTAAAAAATGAGAACAGTTAAACTCAGTTACATCATTAACTGAAGTCAAAATATTTGTTAACGAAATTGTTTAAATCCAAAGTAAATGCAATAAACCTAACTTTGAGATTTTTAGTCAGAATTATGGCAGATTTTTGTATGTAACTTAAGTAAACTGCATGGTAAATAAATTTGTTACCTACATTAGCTTCAACAATTTAGATGTAGTTACCAAAGGATCAAATGAATTTTTGGGAGGGGATATTGCAGTGACTGTCATAAACCTGTCTTTAGAAGTGCAGTTGTAGAATGAAGTGGCTATTAGGGTGGAAGAATCCTCATCTAGGGAGAATGTTGTTTTAAATCAATATGGTCAGATTTGGAAATAATTCATTGAAATTTTGTTTTTATGATGTGAACAAGTTTACTTTGAATGCCACTGTTTTGCTGAGTTTTCGTTCCATACCCCCTCTTACTTGCCCAGTTGCGCATTAGAGGAAACCAGGTAGAATGTATTCATTGTCATATTTTGCAACTGTATTAACATTGTAAGAAACCCATTGATTTGATATGCTTCTTATAAGGTTGCTCTCAGTCAAATTATAGTCTTGATTACCAACTGCTGTTTGGGAAATAAACACACACTTCTACCCCAAATAGAAATGGCAGAAATCCAACCTACTGTACCAAGATATTTTCTTTAATAAAATTGAGAAAACTTCTGTGGATAACTTTTCACTGATAGTTCTTCCTGACTGTTGATGCTGAACTTTGTATTTACAGAAGCCATGTGGAACACACTGTCTCTCAGTGTAACCTTTTTTTCAATCTTCAGTGTTACATAAGTTTCCTTTGATATATTATATGAAACGTGAGTGCTTGTTGGCTTACCACAGCACAAAGTACAGCACTGAAAAGAATATCTTTGACTCAATTGGTTTTTTTTGTCCATGAACCACCAACATCAGTCTAAAATTTTCAAGAGAGATCTGACTTTTCACCTTGTATAGAAGATGTGTTGTTATATCTCAAAGATCTTTTACCCTACATTCTACTTTTTCTTTTGGCTTGCATTTTGCCCAACTTTTGTAACTACCCATAAGAGGAAGTGAGACAGCTAAAGGAGAGGGTAAATCGTCCTATTGGAGTAAGTCACTAGTACTGTGTTAACCTGGGCTGTAGACCCGCCTTTGTTTATTATTGTAAGTGCTAATTTTATCAAAGCTTTGACTGTTCCTCACTCACAAATACTTCCTTATACCTCAATTTACTTCAAAACTTTTTGTTACCTGTCAATTCTAGTGTATCCTCAAGTTGTGCATACATACATTTGCTTAGAAATAAAAACAGTTCCAAACTGATCTGTTGATTGCCTCCTAATTATTTGAATGAAGTTTCAAGGATCTTCAGATTATTCCTTACTAATAATGTATTTAGAGATTAGGCAGTGAACTTTGTGAGGAAATCATTACCTCTCTGGAGACAAACAGTTGAGACAGTTTCCAGCCATGATCTCATTTACATGTGTTGTTAAACCTTTCATATAAAATCATAAAATATTTGGCACTCTCATTGGTTAATTGGTGTGATTGGATGAAAGTACATGAATACAGTTGTCACATTCTGTGCAACAACCACATTTGGGTCTTTCTCTATCTTGGCATAATAGTCCATTGCCTAATTGTTTATCAATATTTCTAGGCAATAAACTTAACCTTCCTGAGATTTTGTGAGTTATAATTGTGGGAGATTCTTGTAGATAAACACTGTAACCTTCATAAGTTGCATGCTAAATGTATTTGTTACCTGCTGTAGCATCAAGAATCTAGATGATGTTACTGGAGGATATAAATGAATTTTGGGAGGAGATATTGTAGTACCTGTCTTCATGACTGCAGGTGTAGAATGAAGCTGTTATAATTAGAGTGGGAGAATCCTCACCTAGAGTACAAAGTTATATTAAATCACAAGGGTAAGGTTTGAAAATAATTCATTGATTAGAAATGTTTTTATGATGTGGATAAGTTTACTTTGAATGCCACTGGCTTGCTGATTTTTCACTCCATACCCCCTCTTACTTGCTCAATTGTGCATTAGAAGTCCATATCTCAGAGAAACCAGTTAGGATGCATTCATTGTCATATTTTGTGACTCTATATTAACCTTGTAGGAAACTCATTAATTTGATATGCTTCTTACATGTACATGGTGCTCTGGGTCAAATTATAGTCTTGATTACCTACTGCTGTTTGGGAAGTAAGCACACTCCTACTCCAAATAGAGATGGCAGGAATCCAACCTGCTGTACCAAGATTTCTATTTTTATTAATAAAATCAGGAAAACTTGTGTGAATGACTTTTAATTGACAGTTCTTCCTGACTATTAATGCTGAACATTGTATCTACCGAAGCCATGTAGAACTCAGTCTCTTGGTGTAACCTTTTTTCAATCTTCAGTGCTACACAAGTTTTCTTTGATATAATTATTATATGAAACATGCAAGTGCTTGGTGGCTTGCAAAAGAAAAAATTGCAGCACCATAAAGAATACCTTCGAATCAATTGTTTTGTTTGTTTGGTTTTTTTTTTTTTTTTTTTTTTTTTTTTTTTAATGAACCACCAACATAAGTCTTAAATTTTTCAGGAGAAAGCTGATTTTAAACCTTGTACAGACAATGTGTTACAATGTGTGATCTTTCACCCTATATTCTACCTTTTTTTTTTGACCAGCAATTTGGCCAACTCAAGTTACTATCCATAAGAGGAGGTGAGATAGCTAAAGGAGAGAATAAATTGTCCCATTGGAGTGAGTCACTACTACTGTATTGACCTGGGCTGCAGCTCCCCCCTTGTCTAATTTTTCATTATAAGTGCTAATTTTGATAAAGCTTTGACTGTTCTTCACTCACAAATACTGATCTGTTTGATTGCCCTTTTAATTATTTGAATGAAGTTTCAAAGGATCTTCAGATTATTGCTTACAAATAATATATTTAGAGGTGAGGCAGTGAACTTTAAGAGGAGGTTGTTACCTCTCTTGAGACAAACAGTCTGTATCAATTTTCAGCCATGATCTCATTTACATGTGTTGTTAACCCTTTAACTCCCAGCTTAATTTTATACCTCTCCTTACTGTCAACCATACAATTCTTATAATGTTAGTTGAGATAATTTAGTATTGGTTCAACTAATTATCCCCAAATTGATATTTTTCTTTATTTTCATGACTTATCTGGTTGATATTTTATTGATATTGGAAGAAGAAATTCCAACTTGGTCACTCATGGGAGTTAAAAAATAATAAAATTGCAAAATATTTAAGATAGTACTGGCAATCTTATGGGTGGATTGGTGTGATTGGATGCAAGTACATAAATGCAGTTGTCACATTAAGTGTAAAAACCGCATTTGTGTCTTTACATCTTAGCACAATAGTCTATTGCTTAATTTTTAATCAATATTTCTAGGCAATACTTCTCTAACAACCATCATAACTGTACCTAAGGAACAGTGTGACACAGTTTTTTATACTTACATTTTATTACCATATAAACATAATGGTTGGGATGGTGTTTAGATGACTTTCATCAAGATTAAAATTTGGTGGCTATACTTAAAATTGTTAACTGAGAAAGTCAGTAGTCTAAAATGTCAAAATGGCTTGTCAATTAACCTATGAACTTTTAAAATCTGCTTTAAAATATCTCTTAAAAGCATGTCAGAAAAAATCTTGAAAATGAGAAACAGTTAAACACAGTTATATCAATACCTGAAGTCAAAATATTAAAAAATTTGTTTTTAAAAATCTAAAGTAAATGCATTAATCCTAACCTTGAGATTTTGTGAGTTATATTTGTGGCAGATTCTTGTAGATAAACACTGTAACCTTTATAAGTTGCATGCTTAAATATATTTGTTACCTGCATTAGCATCAAGAATCTAGATGTTGTTATTGGTAGATACAGTATAAATACTGTATAAATGAATTTTTAGGAGGGGATATTGCATTAACACAGTTACATCAATAACTGAAGTCAAAACATTGGTAAAAAAAATTGTTTAAATCCAAAGTAAATGCCTTAAAGTTAACCTTGTTGAGACTTTGTAAGTTAGAATTGTGGCAGATTCTTGTAACAACTGTATTTGTGTCCTTCCATCTTGGCATAATAGTCTTTTACTTAACTGTTACTCAATATATCTAGGCAATACTTCCTTGCCAACCGTCAGAATTGTACCTGGGGTATGTTAACCTTATAGGAAACCCACTGATTTGATATACTTCTTTTATGGTACTCTCAGTCAAAATTATATTCTTGGTCACCAACTGCTGTTTGAAAACACACTTCTACCTCAAATAAAAATGGCAGAAATGCTACCTACTAAGGTTGTCTACTTCAATAAAATCAAGAAAACTTATAGGAATAACTTTTCATTGATAGTTCTTCCTGACCACGGATGCTAAACATTGTATTTACAGTAACCATGTGGAACACAGTCTCTAAATGTAACCTTTTATCAATCTTCGGTGTAACATGACTTTCCTTTGATATATTAAATGAAACATGTAAGTACTTGTCAGCTTGCCACAGCCAAAACTGCAGCACTGAACAGCATGCTGTGCCTTTGTATAATTGTTTTCTTTGTAGTTAAAAGAATCGTCAACAATTTTTGAGAGAGATCTGACTTTTAAAGTCTTGGCAGGCATGATTAGGCCTTTATGTTGCAGGTATTATTGACGGAGAAGGTTGCTATTTTGTTTTTGTTTTCTTCCTGCCATATCTTCGTTGTCGTAGGGCATACATGTGTCTCATCATGTAACAGCCACCTGGAGAAAAAACACAATTAGTCTCTAAAAGTAATTACAATTGAATCAATCCTGATGTACCAGTTCAAATTCCTCATCAAAATAAGGTTTTTCTGTACGTTGTCATTGAAATTTGATCTAGGCATACTCACCAATAACAAGAAAGAAAAGATATACTCTGAGGTACCATGCAAAGCTAAAACTGAAGTTCAATGCATTTGGTAGTTTGACAGAAAATCTCTCAGATTCATCCAGTAAAGGAATTGCCTTCCATATGAGAGTAACTGCAAGATTGTAACAAAAATAATCAATGCTAAAGACAAATGTTTGGGACATAAAAAAATGGGTAGGGGGCAGTGTAATGCTTGAAGAATAATACCAGACCACAGAAATATTGCTTAATAAATTAATGATCTAGTGTTAAGTTACCTTCAAAGAGTACACCAAGGGGATACAGAGGAATCCATAATGTATATCGAAGCCACATCAGGGGTTCAATTCTTATGCCAAGGATCTCAGAGGCATAAAATGGGTACCTTAAATACAAAAGCACCACAGAATAGTGTAAAAAAAATATAGTTTACATAAATTTAATTTCTTCAACTGAATTATCAAAACATCAAAATGCACCATCATAGTTTTCATTCAATACATACAATCATGAACATTTACATGTAGAAACGTAACATAAGATGTCACACAGGTGTTTTCATACACTGTACATGCAACACAAGAAATTTATTGCAATCAATTTTCAAAAGATACTGAGAAAAAACTATCCAGGTCTTAGTTAATGCTATAACCAGAATAGTGGCCTTGAAATTCCTACTATCATGTTTGGCTCAAAAATCACTCATGTCAATTAACATCAAGATCCTGCTCTGATTTGAGTATCATTACTATGTCAAAACAGCACTAGCCAGTTAAATGCTGAAATGCCAATAGCATTACCTTATTTACACATGCTGACAAATTTTAACCATCTGTAGTCACTAAATCAATACTTTCACAAAGATTTGAAAAAGAGCTTACCGTACAACTTCAATAAGAGACCATACAATGAAAAGACCATATACAGCTGTAAGTTTATGGAGCTCTTTATTTGCAACCACTACCAAGAAAAGAACCAAGTTTCTACCAAAAACCTAATAGTATAAAAGAGAACCTAAATTATAATCTCTCATCAAGAGAAATCAGCAGTGAATTATATTCACACTCAGTCTGCTCTATAGTGTATTAAATTGTAGACAAAGGTTAGAAGCACTGTGTGATAGCTAAGATGATCAATTCTGAGCTTTGTTAGAAAAAATTAAATATGAACATTGGTCAGTGATTGGATAGAAGTACAAGTAAATTGTAATTGAGGTTTAAGAAAAAAGGTTATTTAGTATACATAGAAATTATATTTAGACAGTATCACATCAGAATTACAAAGCTCCAGTGATTGACACTCTTAGGAGAGGATTGCATGATTGTCTTGAACAATTAGAATGCCTGCATGTGTAAGAAGTTACAGTGTACTCCATCACTGCCAACAAATGGTCATACCAATGAGTGACAGATAATCAGTGATCATCACATGTAACCTGTCAAACTTGTTCACCTGGTTATCCTTGACAGGATCAACTTGTTAGCTACAATCTATTAAATATACAAGTCAAACATGATTTACTGGTATTTTCAAAAGCTTACAAAAAAATGTACTTTTAATTATAAACTTTAAAATATACCTGCATGAATGGAGCCAGTACACCAGTCTTGACAATACCAACCATAGGATGAATAACCTCCAAGAAGGCTGCCAACTGACATGAGGCTAGTACATCACTGACTGAGTCATAAGCTTCAGAGAAGGCATCTAAAATGTCAAATGCAATATATAAACCAATCTTGGTTGCCAGAGTTTGACTGAATATTGTAGTAATAGTAGCAAACCAAAATCTATTTGTAAAGTTAGATTGGAAGTGTTTTAATTAGTAGTTTGAGACAGAATGGGACAAAATGTTAACCATAATTAACCTTTTCCTCCCTAACATAAGTATTTTATATTCTCCACACTGATCTCTCTACATTCCCTGTGGTAATCACAAATAGAGGTTTTTTTAACTTCTTATGTGTACATGTACACCCAGTTGTTCAAAGGGTGGATGACACTATCCACTAAGTAAATCACTATCTGGTTGATAGCAAAGTACATCTTGTCATCATTTATCCACTGGATAATAATTTATCCAATAGATAGCATTAATGGCCCTTTAAATCTCACTGTTTGATGATATTGGTGATAATGTGAGGGGAAATTAGATGCTCATCACTGTTAGAGGATGAAGGGTAAAAACTGAGGAAGCATAATGCACTTATCAGCAGCCATCCCAGGGGGTTGACCCAGGGGAACCCCCAGGCATTTGCACTAAGACATTTGCAAATTCCACCTACCCAGGGCCAATATTCTTCCACAAAAAGCTACTACTGTCCCTCCCCCAGGGAGCATAACTTGAAAGGACTCCCAAATTGTAATGCAATTTCCTGCATAATTTTTTAATAAAAGTTTAACAATAATATATACAGTAAGCAAAATAGATAATCCACCTGTTTTCTGCACACAGCGAGGTTCAGCTTTATACCTTGTAAGTCATAGAATGACAATTTCAACGAACATACACTTACTTCAGCCTGTGTTTACTATACAGGGCTATACAGGGCTCAAAGTTAAAAACATCCTAAGTCGCTTTTTGCCGTTCAACGGTGATACCCAGTTCCCGCGGTCCAGATCTTTCATTTTCAAGATGGTGGCAATGTTACAAATCCTATGGGTCTTTCCCCATGTATCTTGCTTCAAAAGAGCAACAAAAGCAGTCCAATGCCCCCGTCCTGGGCCAAAAATTAGCGATAAAAGTCAGCAAATCCTGCACTATTCCCACATATGTCCCCAGGGTCAACCCCCGGGATGGCCGCTGATAAGTGCATAAGGCACCAAAACCCTTCAATTGTACCAGTCCTACAAGAAACAACATGCATTTTTATAGAAAACATGGGTACCCCTACATGTATATCTCATCTGACTGATACTTGATATCAAAATAGTGACAGATGACAGATATAATTACGCATTTGTTCTAACTACTAAAAAAGTGAATTCAAATAAGATATACCTGTTCCTTGAAAAATTGCTTTGTACAGAAGGACTGAAGTGATGTAGAGATATAATCCTCCTTGCATGAGATTATACACAACCAAGTAGAATATTCGAGTAAATCTGAAAACTATAAAAAAAAAACAACCCTTTGTTTTTCACATTAATAATTTAAAACAAAATTTCTTGATGGTTAAGAAGTTAAGTAGATACATGTAGGGAACATTAAAAATCACCTTATTACAACTGTGTATTTTCACTTAAGTTCTAATAATTACTGCTACCCACAGCAAACACTTCTAGTTTAATCAGGTCAATTACAAACTAAGACATTACTGTCCTAACCACAAGAAAAAGACTGAAATGACAGCAAGATAGGCAAATATACCAATTTAGGCATCAGAAAGTGAGATTACTGAATATTACATTTTGACCATGCTATTATAGTAAATCCATATTGAATGAGTACAAGATCAAGAAAGTTAGATATCCATCAGGTTCTTTTCTCATGTCAAGCCATGAGGATGTTAAAGATGTCCAGGCTCCTTGACCTAAAGCTTGATTAAAAAATTGTTTACCAATAATTTTAACCATTTAGATTGTGCACTTTTTCTGTTTCTAAGGGTTTAAGTTACAGCTGGATACCCCATCTTGCAATTAACAAAATTCTTGATAATTTCTTGGGATGTTTAAAGAAGTATTAGATGAAAAAGGGGAAGGACCTTGATGCACTGTCTTCAAAAGTTGTGATCATAATGCTTTGCAATTTGGGAGACATTAGAAGAATGCATACCTTCTTGTTTGGTTTTCTCTATTTCATTGTCCAGATCTAATTCCATGGCTTTGGTATTAGCCATCAAGTTCTGAAAACAAACATAAATTTATTAGTTACACATCACTCCCAAACTATTTTTTTAAGTTTGCTTCTTAATGATGAACTCCATAAGATTAAATTTTCATTTTGAGAGGACATAAAAAAACTGTCACAGTCATACTGTACACTGTTTAAGTAAAACTACTCAAAAATTCTTGTCAAGTTTCAAAAAATGTGAAAAAATTTATTGTTTGTGGCTAATTACCAGAACTCATGGTTTCTTGATTGGTTGATTAAATACATATTTTTTGAAGCATTTGTACACAATTTCACTTTGAATATTACTAAATTATACTGTCCAGTGCTTTCCTGTACACAAACCTAAACTGCTATGCTGACAAGGTGATAATTAAATAAAACAAAAATGTTAAAACTCCTAGTTATAGCGAGACAGTTTTCATGTGACATGCTCAGAACAAGAAATCTTCCCTGAAATTTGTCTTGATCAATCTCTGTTTTACTTTGGGGTTCTAAAGTTTTAAAAAAGTTATCTTAATCATCATTTCAGCCAATGCAACAGTGACCTGTGTTTGATTTTATTCACCTCTAGTTTAGCTTGTTCTTCCAGTTCATCTTTTTCACTATCAGATGTATCTTCACTTTGCCATCGATCAAAGTTGACTTTCAACCAGGCCGGCTTTTGTTCATCCACAATAAGACGGGGCCAGAACTCTGAGCACAGCACAAACAGTGCATAAAATCAATAAAGTCCACTACAAATCAATAAAGTTCTTAATACATGCATTGACTCCATACTAAATTCCAACAAGATGACTGCTGTTAGTGATAGCACCTACCCTGCTGCCCTTTCAACTTAGCAATGGAAAATTCCACATGACGATCCAGAACTTTATGACTGCTTGCCTATAAGTCAATGATTAAATTAATCAAGTTATCAAATTGACAACCATAATTGTTTTCAATGTAAGTAAAACATGACTAAACTCTCCACTACAGGTAAATCACAATTATCAAAATTAACTTAGTTTGTAAAAAAAAAATGTCTACAAATATCAACAAAGACTCACTGTAATATCAACAGGCTTATAGAAATCAATGTCCACATGGTACTGCTGTTCCCCTCTGGCTCCATGACCAAATCCTGTAACACAAATATTCACAGACCCTGAAATTATTCTTCAGTAAATTAAGAGAAGGAAACAGCACACATTACCAAAATTAAAGCAATAAAAAAGGGACAGACTTTGCTCAAAATCTAAGGCTAACCACCATTCAACTCCTGGGTTCTAATGATAATTTCTTAATTTATACCTGCTCTTGCTCCTGCAACTCTCCTTAGAAGCGAGTAAGGAGAATTTGTTCCTCTGTCAATGGTACCCTCATGCTTATTAATGAATTAGTTTTGTATTGTCAACTTTTTACTGGTTTACATAATAAAACTGTAAGGAGAAGTAACATGCCGACCACATCTAGGAGATAAAGGCTCAGCTCTCATAAGAAGGTAGGACCTAGGTACCAGCACCAGGATAAAAAAAGTTTCACTACCTGCATTAACAACACACATGTAACTTCACATGGGGCATGAAGGAGTTCACTTCTGGTTTTAATTTTTTAAAATGTATCTCATAGGGATGCCTTAGCACTTAAAAAATGTGATCAAACCCTTGCTAAGGATTAAGAGTGTTGTGAAAATAAAAACAACATTACTTTAAGCAGGCTGGGAAACGAAAGAAAACAGCATGGATACAGCTTAAATTACAACAGGTACAGTGTACGTACAGCTTCGAAGTCATGAATGTAGAGATATTTTCAAATTCTTATACTTCTCTTCATTGTTAGCTACTTGGGTTTTAGTAAGAACAAGGACTGATATCATCGCTCCTTGGAATACATGATGTAAAATGGCCTGCTTACCTTGAAAGACTAACCGGTTACCAGTCAGTTCTACAGCTGGATACTGCAAGAGGAATTGCACAAATTGTAAATGGAATACCACGAACGGTTAGATATAAACTACAATAATTTTTTGTAGCAATTACCAAACCTGAACATCTGACAACTCCAGTGTTAAAAATATTCGCTCCTTGCTTTGAGCCCATCGAATTATTGGTTTGAAAACCGCCGCCATCTTCGAAACTGCAAGATTATCCATGATGCAAAGCGTCATGAGCAAAAAGAATACAGAGCATGATGGGCAACGTAAAGGACAAACATCGCCTGGACTACGGGGGTCACCACAGATTAACATCTGCACCAATAAAACCATAGCAATAATTGACCTCAGTAAAAATGGCGGTAATTTTAACAAAGTTAACCGCGTCGTAATCTTCAAATTTATCCATTAAACCGCCATCTAGCAAACATAAGCGGACAACTACCACCGAGAACCGTCTCCCTCCGTCTTCGACACTATGCGACGATCAATTCAAAGCTTCAACATCCAACCCCGGACAACCCCCCGAGCATTTGAACTTTTGAGGATTGGTTCCTTCAAATTCCTGCCCCCCGGGGGAAACATTGTAATCAAATGCCCCACCTATTTTTATTGTAAAGGGCAAAATCAGCGACCGTGACTTTCTATACAAAAATCATTTTTACGATCATTTTTGGACAATTGTGATTCTTCGCCCCCGATATTTCTCATAATTTTGGTCTATAGCGATGCTTTCATACCTTGACTCTTTTCTTCCTCCTTTCTATCTTGATCTTTTCGTGGATAATATTATAAAGGAATCGAGAAATCCTTCGTGGCTTTTCGATGTGTGGGTGTTGTATGTGAATCTTTCCCTGGGACCTTAAGACTCGCCCATACGTCCATGAATACCTTGTACTCCTATTAATGTGTTGGAGGGGGGGAGGGCAAGAGGAGAACCCAGTTCAGCAGGATAAACCGAAGGTCCCAGCCAGTTCTTATCTTACACGATTCTCCATGATAGGACGTTTTGACCCCTTCGGTATCAGTAAAGGGTAGTAAAAGCGACCCCAAAATTAACTCTGACCAGTGGAGTACATGTATGCTTTCTTGGCTCCGCACTTATCACTACTGATCAAAACACAACATTTCGACTAAAAAACTGAAGTTTATCATTTTGAAAGAATAGTACATCGCCTTGATGACACGAAGAAGTCCATCTTGTTTTCAACCCGGAAAAGAAAATGGTTGTTATATCCAGACCATCGGAATGTTGCCACTTAACACATATCAAACAGATCATGAAACAAGAAAAAAAAATTTATTTGCATGAATGGCATGTAAGTGTATGCCCATTAAATTTTCCATTAAAATATATAAATATGTACAAGATATACTGATTGCAAATCCTCATATCACAACATTTTTTCAACTATTTACAAAATTAACTGAGTTGCAATTGATAATTGCAAGGACGAGTCCTGAAAACCTGCACAAAAGAGAAGAAAACAGATATATGAGCTGTGATCAGCAGCATATCTTAAAGGAAATGATTCATTTGTATCTGGAGGAGTGACACTTTAGTGAAAAGGGGCAGAAAGTAATAAACCGTTTCAAAAACCCACCAGATTACTCGAGACCATACACAAAACTAAAATAAGTGAGACTTTTGTTATGTTATCTAACTGCGAACAAAACGACTCAAGGAATCAAAAGCAGCAAATTAAAATATTTTTAGGTATTTCCCTCAATCACTTGAGTGAGCCGAAATCAACCGTCGTAAATTCCAGCATATGTTAAAAATCAACCACAGTATCTAGTAACTGCCGTCGAGGAGCCTGTCAAATAAGTCTTCGAGACCCATTTAAAGCATACAGAAATGAGGGAAACCGTGAAATACAAATATGGGAAGACAGATGAATACCAGAGTAAAAAAAAGATGATGTACCTGAGAGGGAAGAAGGTTGGTTCAAACACAGGCAGACAAACCTATAGCTTTGAGGGAGCGTGATGTAAAAATGCCCAAAATACTTTGCCAAAGAATCCTTGCTCATCTGTATAAACAAAGAAAGGAATAAGTGTTGTAGAGAATCTCAGTCAACTGTATGGTACTATGATACTTAAAACTACTTCCCTAAAACGCACGGAGCGGTAACAGTACCCTAAAAAAATGCTATAAACGAACCATTCCACGGTTCAGTGCAAAATAACAACGATAAAAAAATTGTTTCTGCTACGAAGAATCAAACAATCCCACATCTTAAAATTAGCCAAAGATCTTTTATATGCGAAAAAGTGACGAACCTCAACGAAAGTCTCATTCCACAATAGGGGGACGCAACTCATCTGGAAAAAGTCTCTCGCCCCGGCACCGGTAAAATATAGTGCTCACGCCATAATTGGAAGTATTCTTACGGAATTACGAAGAACGAATAAGTTATGCAGATTTTCCCGAAGTACAGAAGTGCACTCGGCTCACATACACTAACGCCCTACAAGTCTACTTTTCCTTTACAAGAGAGAATCTGGGAACGAGATTAGGTTCGAACAAGGACCTCTGATTGTTAAGCAACTAGGGTTTAATTTTATTTTCTTCTTCTTTACCAGATTACTGTTTACTGAAGTACTCATACCTTTTACCGTCTCCAAGGATGAGTTGCCTTTCTTAGCAGAGGACTTTTTATCATTTGCCTTACATGACGGATGGCTTTCTTCTTTTGATCGACAAGCATCGGCTACAAAAATTGAAAGACATTAAGATGCTGACGTGCTGATGCTGTATTCTCCACTGAGTTTTGGAAGATTTTGTAACCGAAAACTGTCCCACCAACATTGTGAAACAATTTGAACCAACGAGGATGACTTTTGGCAAGATTCTCTTGTTTTTGACTTTTCAAATGGGTCAGGTAATCTAATTTGTCAGTATATCCATGCACACTTTTCTAAACCCACTAAAAAGGCGAGAAGACATAAAACATGACTAATCCGCGAGATAAAACTCTCTCAAAAGTTTCACACTACACCATTGAGTTACATTTTTTAAAGGCAATATAGGAAGAAAGAAAAACGTAACTCTTTTTCAGGGTTTTCAAAGTTTTCAAACAACCTTATAGTTATTCCACAGGGTATAATTTTTTTCTCACCAAGTCACTGATATCACTGATATGGAACATACCAAATGAAAACTATAACAAGATATTTTCAAAGAATTTTTACCTTTTTCTGCCTCAGAAAAGAGTTTCGATGAGTTTCGTATCTTAGCAGAGGACATTTTCTTAACAGAGGACTCATCATGCGACTTTTCATCATACTTAGAATGGTCTTCTTCTACTAATCGACAGGCTCCGTCTACAAAAATTGAAAGTCAATAAAACATTAAAAAACTTTGACATGCTGATGCTTTCTTCTTCTCCGAGTTTCGGAAGATTTTCCAGGAATCACATGGATTTTTTTAGGGGGGGGAGGGGAGGGAGATCAGTCGTCACTAACAGAGTAAAAGTTAGGGTATTTAAAATTACATTGCATTTTGATACAACCAAAATCCTCCGCTCCCACCCCTTCAGGCGATGAATAATGACCCGTCTCTATCAAAACATTTTATACCTTTTTCCGCCTCGAAGGATGAGTTTCCTTTCATTGCAAAACATTTTTCATCTTTTTCTTCTAAATGGCTTTCATGCAGATTTCGATCAGGATCGTAATCAAAGCCACCGGCTGCAAAGAAAGAAAGGCATCCAAAAACCTCAAAACTCTGACAACTTTTGTCAGTAGTAAACTGAAAAATGTATGAAAATAGCATTTTCATAGAAATGTCACTTACCCTTTTGGGAGAAAGGTAGAAAGTTTCCTTGGTTCCTAACCAGCCAGTCGTCATCCTTTTTAGCTCGGCCTACTTCAGATGTAGATAGTCGTGCAAATATGGGAGGGAGGGGTGATTGATGGTGCCTGATGGGGCCACCTTTGTCTGAAAGAGACGCCAATGAGATTAGTAGATTTTTACAAAACCCGTTTCCCATTTGCTTTGTTTCTTCGTTTATTTTTTGGTAATGTGTTTCACTGCTCTTACCTGCGGTAGGCATGGACAACGGATCGGCTGTTTTGCTGTCGCAACTGAATCCCTTGCTTTGATCACTTCTATGCCTTTTTCTCAGACAGGTGTCCTGCACTAGAGTTCCACTCGTTGAGACTCTGGCTGCAGATGATAACATTGACGGGCGAGGCTCGCTGTTCTCTTTGACTGAAATGACGAGAAATGAAATAATCCTGTAACATTTTTACTCGATAAATACTTGGCTAGTCTATGCTGACAACATTCTCATCCCACACCCTCCCCTCCCCCCCCCCTCCCCACAAGAGATAAGAGGCGTCAATGATATCTTACGTAATAACTAAAGTACAAGTTACTACAATTACAACAAAATGTTAAATTATCAACACCTTTTACTGTCTTCTTTACATTTGCTTCATCGCCTTTAGGCGTTTCTGTCTCTTTTATAAGCACAGTACTTTTCTGTTCTGGGAGAAAACAGTGCCCGCTTTTCACATTGAGCTCTGTAGGTTGCAGGTCGTCGTAGGCACCGGCTAGAGAAAAAAAAATTGAACGCATTAAAACTTGGATATATTTCCGACACAAACCCCTTCTTTAAGTTTTGACAGACATCGTATGCAACAACTTCCCTTCCAACATCGAATATGCCTATATGTTCATCGGAGTCTGTTCCACGCGTACCAGTTTATGAATTATAATATATAGATTTAGCCAAGCCTAAAAGCGAAGCTGGCATTTTTTTCCCGCACGTCTCAGGGGCACAACGCCTTGCCTCGGCCTGGACTAAAACCCGGGTCGTCCGACTCGGAGCCCAGTGCACTGACCACTGGACTACTGAACAAAGCCGTGGCGTTGACGTGCCCGCGGTACAGTTGACCACGCATGTTAAAATTAGCACGGTCGTACGGTCGTACGGTCGTACATCCAAATTTTTTCCGCTTGATGGATTACTACTATTTTGTATAATTATGGGGCTACGCTCTGCGAGCTCCACTATAAATTTCATCCTCTATTTGGTGCGAAAATGCACCAGAATATTAGTTCACGGATATCATCCATTACAAAGGGCAAATATTCAAGCTAGAAGCAAATTTTGAGGAAGACTGTGAGTTTTAGATATTGTCACTGAAAGGAAAAATAAACCTTCATATTTTTAAGCCTAATAGAGACTTTCTCGTTTATTATTCTTCAATATATTTTTGAAATGCACGACACAAAGGGTTTACCAACAACTCACTTTATAAAACGGGGATTGAAATTTTAAAGCAATTTTGTCAACAAATAAGCTCATCCCCTTATTAGTGTCAAGGACAAAAACGTTCTGATTGAATCAACAGTTATAGAACGACCTTCATTGCACTGGACGTTGTCTTAAAATTTGGTACCGCCCCCTCGTAATACCAACAGATATTCATCACTTTAACTCGGTCGCGTTAAAACCAATCGCACGCGGAAAATATCTCATGTCTCATTAATGAAGTTATGCTACGTTTATCTATTCATAAGATCGCTTCACGAACCTAGTATTTCTACTGTCACATCAGTACGTTTTGTTTTCAGATCTTCCTTTAAATGGTTCATCATACCCATTTTGTCGTTTAGCCTCTCCTTGTTTCTTCTTTCTTGAAGATCAAACTGCATCTTTTTGTCCTCATCCTGAAGGAAACTGATCTTCTCAACCAACTTAGAGTTGACTTCTGCAAAGAGAAAGAAAATAAATCATTCAAACTTCAAGAACAGAAGACACTCTTTCGAGTAGTAAAGAGTGAAATAAATTGTTGCCGAGCAATTCGTCCATGTTTGCTTCGGTATTAGCCACCGTCTTGAGGACAAAACTGTTAACATGGAAGAAACGGTCTCTTCCATTTCAGCAATTTGGTCCTCAAGGCAAGCGTTCTTCGTTAATAATTCGGACTTATCGGCTGAAAAATGTCATTAAAACAGACAGTTTAAATTACTTCAGGAAGTACTAAAAACGAAAAAAAAAAGTCACCTGACAATTCTTTTACTTTTGCTTCGGCATTTGTCATTGTTTCTTCCATAATGACAATTTTTTCCTCGAGGCATCTGTTTTTCCTCAACAGTTTCTTCTTAACGGCTGAAAATGTCAATAAAACTAATAAATCAAACATAAAGAACAGAAAACGCTTTTTCAACTGATAAAAAACGATATAGATTGTCACCTGACAATTCCTACATTTTTTTCTTCGGCATCAGCCACCGCCATGAGGACCAAATAGTTAACATGGAGAAAACGGTTTCTTCCATTTCAGCAATTTGGTTCTCAGGGCAAGTGTTCTTGGTTAACAATTCTGTTTGTCTGGATTTTCTTTCTTTTTTTTTTTTTTTTTTTTTTTTTTTTTTCTTTCGATGGACGCAATAAAATAAATTACCAGCTACCTTTGTTAAAAATCGTGTTTTGCTTAATTTTGTGTTGCCAAGTATTAACCCGCTATGTTACACATACCTAGAGAAACCTCCAGTCTTTCACTCATTTTGTCAACATCGTTTGCAGCTTTCTGCAGGCTCTTGTGATAATTCCGCATATCAACCGTTAAGTTTTTTATAAGATCTTCATATTTGTTTAGCTGAGATGTAAGCTGTTTAATTTTTTGATCTTTCTCACTAATTGTCTCCTTTGATACAGAAAGAGTCGCTGAAATGAACAAAAAATACGGGAATATTACGATGCCATTCAGTAAGCAAGACATTTAATTATTACTAGTAGTCAGGCACAGAATTTAAAAGCTCCTCAGAGAAAATACAAACGTCGCTCACGTTGAAATATCTCAGATTGTTTTCAGCCACATCCTTCGAGTTTTTATAAAATCGTATATTTGATTAATTTCGTATTGCCAAAAATAAACCACATCTCCCCCTAATGAAAGCCAAGTCCAACAGAGAAAGATTTGACGTCGAATGAAGATTTCTTCAGTATGTTTAATCACTTTTTATTTTTCTCTTCCAGCTCAATGGAATCTTCTTTAGTTGACCACGCAAGGAAGAGTTCATCATTTTTAATAATTCTTTATCTCAGTTCCTGATGATTGTAAAGGCTTAGCTCATCAGAGATCAATTGCATATCTATATTTCCATTTTATTGACCCCTTCGCTTCCTCTTCTTCTTTGCACATTCTCCAACAATCTTCCAAATGTTCACGTTCACAAAATAGACGCAAACAGCTTCATTTCCTGGACAAGGATTGTCAAAGGAGTGCTGTGTGTTCGCCACCGTTTTGATCATTTTATTTAAAATGTAAATAATTTAACTCAGAGATGGCTTTCAAGAATGATGCTTTTAAAACATGATTTTGCTTAGGTTACGTTTAAGTCAAGCAAATTGAATTCTGGGATGCAAACTTCATGGCTGCCACCCAGGTTTCTCGCTTGTCCTCATGATGTGATTAAATAATCATGTTACGACACCGTGACTACGCCATCTGTTTACCGCGCGCAACCATAATAACTGTTCAGACAGGAAAGATTTGCGATTTCGAATGAAATGATTATAGCTACGGGTGTAAACATGAGTAGTTTTTGGATATCATAAAAGTCAGGTGGAGTTCTAAACTTCTGGTACAAACAGATTACTGGAGAAGAGGACAAGTTGTCTTCTTCGCCTGTAATGTGCTTGTACAAGAAGTGAACGAGCATTCAGTTCATTGGATGTCCTTTCTAAAGCCAACGTGTGGGTCATCGATCTTCCCACAAACAATTTAGAACCGATTGAGGAATCAGTTGGCTCCTAATTGTTTGTGGGAAGATAAGGGAGGGGTGGAACGACTGTGTCCCAGTCTTTTTGTTAAATATCGTACGTTGTAAATTACTACATATTATGTAGAGGAAGTTTTAACCTTGTGTTTTTTTTTTAAGTATTAAATATCTTTTTACGGGTTGTTGTTTAGTCATTTGTAACGTTCTTTTTTTGCTTATCTGTGCATATCTACAAAACTTTTGATTGAACGCAACAATATTTAGTTCATAAGCACGTTTTGTGATCAGTTTTGTACTGAGAAGAAAATTGATTAGTTTACCTTATGCATAAGACTTACCTTCACAGGCCTTCATCCCTTCAGAGAGAATTGAAATGACCGCCCGAGCTTTGTCCAGTTCACTCTGGGCATTAGCTGCCATCTTTTTGAAAAGATCTTTTTGTCTTGTATGACACTTTTCTATCCTCTGAAAGTATGATTGTCTTAGATTGTCTAAAGCTACCGAATTTAGGGAATGGTGCTCTGATATGCTTTAGAAAGTTAGATGGTCAGTATAAGCAATGAGCCAATAGTCAACTGACTAAGCTCTGACGTCTCACACGTCATACCAATCGGGGATCACGGCTGAATAGACAGACAGACAGACAGAAAGACAGACAGACAGACAAACAAACAGACAGTCAATAAACGTGGTCCTTTCTTCAGTCATCCGGTCGATAAGTCAAACCATATATTGGTTGGTCAGTCAGTCAGTCAGTCAGACGATCGGTCAGTCACTCGGTCAGTCATTCAGTTACTCAGTCACTTGGTCAGTCAGTCGATCGGTCAGTCACTCGGTGAGTCATTCAGTTACTCAGTCAGTCACTTGGTCAGTCAGTCAAGCAGTGACTTTGGTCAGTCAGGCAGTTACTGAGTCAGTCACTTGGTCAGTCGGTCAGATCAGTTGTTTCAATGTAACCAGCACATCATTCACGAATACCTTGATGTGTTTCAGTCCGCAAGTGACTAAGCTTTCAAATAATCGATAGTTATACACCTTCATCACTTTATTTTATTGCGGATTTGACGACAAAAACCGACAAAGGCCTGCATATTGGATGATTATCCTCTTTGTTGAGAGCAATTACCTTTAATGAGTTCTCAGACAGTGGAGGCAAAAAGGCCGAGGGGGGAGGGGGGGGGAGTTGTCCAAAAACGGCGAGAGTTGCGCTAAGAAATATGAGGAACAATCTCTGCTGTTTCCAGCGTTTTCTTCGCCCACTCACTATTGCGTTGGTCTGCATCGACCACCAGCCTGGATTAAAGTTGGAAAAAAAAGATATCTTACCTTGGTATTGTTGTTCAAGGACTGCCATCTTTTCCTCCAATTCTTTATCCTTGTTACCCTAGTTCAATAAGATTAAGTACATTTGACGTTTA